ATATTTTGTTGTTTCTATCGTAACGTTATTGCCTTTGTGTTTATATTTTAATTCAATTAGTGGACTGTCATCTTCAGAGGTGCTGTTCCTTTTAGATCTTTTTCAATGTTCATATTTACTAGAGACATCGTCAAGTGGGTCATCGTGAAGACTAAAATCTGATAATGATTCGCTACTTGACACAAAAATTAAACGGTTTTTTTTGCTATTAGTTTTCTCTGCCACTTTCTAATTGCTTGTACTCGCCCCGTTTTTATATCCGTGTTCAATCGACTTGTCAGAACTTCTTACGACATCTGATAAATCTCGGAAGCTACTGTGGTTTACTTCGTCTTCTTCTCTGGGAGTGATCAAACTTGGTAAAAAGGCAGCTTCAGGTATAGCGTCTGGTCTAAACGTTATAACGGATAAATGTCGGTGGCTGCAAAACCAGAGATAATGTTTGATTGTGTCATTGCTTTTAGTCAAACTGTAGTAAAAATTTACCTAAACCTCATTTTGATTATCGCCTTGGCAGGGTTTGTTGTTAAGAACTGTGGAACTTTTAGTCCCAAATTGTCTCAAAGCTTTTAAACATTGATTTGCCATAGGTTACAACTCGTGTGACGTGTTGCTAGGAAGATAAAATAAAGTTATGTCCATGCGGTTAGCTGCGTCAACTATGGAAATATCTAGGTAACTTTTAGCTCCATCAAATATTAGTAAGTTAGGACCAGGGTTTCTGAATAAAGAGAAATAGTCAAGCCGCAAAACAAATGCTTAGCATATCATACTACATTTATTTGTGACAATAGCTTTTGAGCCAGGGGTCAAGTGATCAGACCATTCAGGTTTAAACCTTTGGCCTTTAAAAAGCACAAACGGTAGTACAGGTTGTCCAAGCGCATTTCCGCAACCTACAATTGACACGTTTTCTCCCTGACGCAATTTGGTATATGATTTTTGTGGCATAAGAAAACAAACTTTTCACTAAAATCTTGCATAGGAATATTTACCTCAGCTAATCTGTGCAATGTTAGCAACAAATGACGCGCAGAAAATAAGCTGTAACTTAAAATTGCTTCAAAATAATTCATGCAATTTATAAAATAATAACCACTGGCGTGTACTTACCTAAACTTAATTACAAAAATCCAGAAAATTTTAATATATTTTACGAAAGGTTAACCTACAGGTTGACTACGGGGAAAAATAGGTTAGGTTAGATTAGGTTAGGTTAGGTTAGGTCAGGTTAGGTTAGGTACATCTGATGGATACCATAGACAAAAACCGCCGAATAGAAAACAAGGTGCTGATAGACACAGATACTAATACTCCATTCCACGAATATACGACTGTTTTAAATTCGGTTTAAGGTGTCGATTTAAATGGTCCAATTTGCTGAATGGTACAATAATAAATTCTCCCCATTTTTTAAATATTCGTTGTCGCAATAATCCAAAACAGTCGTATATTCGTGGAATAACCTATACCACTGTTGCCACCTTACTTGCAACGTCGATACTATCTGTGATAAAGAGTGTGAGTGTCTGTGAAAAATATTAGAAAAACTTTAATTCCAATAAAATATTTTTATTATATGATCAATAACAAACCATAAAATAAAAAACAAATTTCAAAATATTGACTAAACAACTAATAAAAATTAAAAATGTTTTTTTCCTAAGTAAGAAATTTTTCAAATCAAAATCATAAAATATTTCTAAAACATGCCTACTAAAAAAGAGTATAAGCTCCAATAACAGATCTTTTCTAATACACACTGAATCAAAGTTGCAATCTCGTGTTGCGGTATTCGTTCCCACTCGTTTATATCGGTATCTGTTCCCATAGCTCTAACTCTACCACAGTTTCAAAATCGTTATAATTTTGCCTACCTTTGTTACTACCCTTTCCTAGTTGGGTTCCACAAGTTGGGTAATCAAGTAAATATCTCCTAAAATGAGATTTAAATGTAAACAAAACGTTTCTCCAATCTTTCAGATCCCAATTGACATGAATTGATAAGAACGACAGAATTGCATGCGTTGTCTTCTATAAGCTGGGTCCAATAAAAGGCCTATAATAGGTACATCAGATGATACATTTTGTTCGTTTAATTTTCGATGTATAGTGTCAGGTGAAACTATGGTAATATGAACATCTACTAGTCTTCTAGTCAAAGCTGTAGCAGCAACTGTGCGCTCTCGAAGTACTAGAAGTCTAAGAAACCGATCTTACACGGCGCGCGGCGTTTGTTGACCTTGGTTTTTCCTGTACAGGTCTTTTTAAGCAAGAGCAAGTTTCTCCAAATCCTTGTAAAGCATCGGATATTGTTTTTCTCAGAATATTATTATTTCGATATATCGAATGGAACACCTATCATTATGAAGAGTAAGAGCAAGAGCAAGCTTTCGATACTTGATCTGGCCTCATTACAAATTATTCTTTGTTATTAAAAAACACTTTTATTTTTAAAAAATAGCGTTTGTTAAACGTCATTTTATGATATTTTATAATAACATGGATCAAATGAACTAAAACTGTAGAGGTGAACGTATCAAATATTTTAAATTTACAATTAAAAGAAATAAGGGTCATTCATCCAGATAAAAAATATCCTATGTCCTAAGTTGGATCAACAAATACACTTTCACAAAATTTTACTGCAATCGGATCAGTGGTTTTTGAATATTAGCTTGGATAAACACCATGACACGGGGTTTATATATATATATATATATATATATATATATATATATATATATATATATATATATATATATATATATATATATAGACAAGACAAGACAAGACAAGAGTTGTGCTACTTTATCTATTTAATGAAGACGTTTCGCCCACTGTTTTATGAGCATCATCAGTTCATCTAAAAGAGTGTTATTAGCGATACATCTAATATGAGAAACAATTAAGTAATAATTGGTAATTTTAAAATATTATATTAACAACGGCAAGGCTCATTTTTCTAGACTGTTATAACCATAACATGCGAAATTAAGTATAAAAACGTTAGAAAAAATATATAACTATCTGGCTGAGTATAAACTGGGACACTTGTCCAATTTACGAAATAATGCTAAAATTATGATATAATGAAAGAAACTAAAGAAGAAACCATTCATTAAAAGTAGAATACAGAAAAATCAATTTTGTAGTATTAGTGCATGGCAAATTCGGCTTAAGATTCTGATATCAGTTCTCTAATTTAATGCATTAGGTTGTTTCAAAATATGACACATCTCCATAAACTGTCTCTTATTAAGATTACGTTCTATACAGGGAATTCTAATATCATCAAAATGCATAACATGTTTGTTGTTGATTGCATGTTGTGCAAGGGCACAGGTATGTTTAGACAGTTTAATGTCACTACGGTGTGAAGTAAGGCGTCCTTTAAGGAAACGGCCCGTCTGACCAATATAACATGCATCACATTTAGAACAGGGTATGTGATAGACTACATTTACTTGTTCCAAAAAAGAAACTAGTTTTAGAAAACAAGTTACTGACAGTCTTAGCATTATTGACAGCAATCTTAACCGGGATATTGTTCTATTTGTACAATTTAATAAGCTTTTCAGTAACATATGAAATATAGGCTAGTAAAGAATAATGGGTGGTGAAAGTTGCAATGTTAGGAGAAAGTAGAGTACTGTTGTTCATAATATTATTAGAAATCATCCTTAGTTGATCACCATCAGATAAATCATCAATAGAAGACCCAAAACTTGTTGAAAAAAGGTATTTATTGATGAGAGAAGTAGAGTACGAATCGTCAGATAGTATACTTCTGAGTAATAAAAGATAATCCCTTTTGTTATTAGGATGTGTTAACCTATGTAGCCTACAGCTGAGTGCTTTTATAAGATTTATTTTGTATTTGAAAGGATGGCACGAATGATAGTTAAGAAACCTATTACTAGCCATAGGTTTCCTGTACCAACTTGTAGTTAGTGTATTGTCACTATTTCTAAAGACATGCATGTCTAAAAAAGGAATACTATTGTTAGAGGGATCCTCAAGTTCATAAGTGAACTGTAAATGAGGATCAAAACTATTAAAGATCGATAAGGTAGACTCTACTTTGTCAGGGGGTAAGGCTAACAAAAGGTCATCAACATACCGTTTAACAAAAGGGATCTGTAAATCTATAAGGCAAAAACAGTCATATACCAAGTCATCAACGACAAAGCTAACTAGGATGGGAGATATGGATGAACCCATTGGTGTCCCAAAAATTTGTAAGTAATATTTTTTATCATTGAAAACCAAAAAATTAGTGTCAAACACCAATTGCAAAAGCTCTGCAAACACAACGCAGGAAACGGGGGAGTTTGGTTAAATAGTATTCCAATGATTCCTTAAAGACGTGAGAACACTAGAAAAATGAAGGTTAGTGAAAAGTGATACTACATCAAAGCTCACCAAAGTGTAATTAAGTGGTATTTTGAAATTATTAATAAATGCACTAAATTGAAAAGAATCAACAATATTATAAGAATTGTGACAATCATAGGATTTAGATAGAATATTAATTAAAAATTTAGCAATGTGTATATTTGGTGAATTGATAGAAAAAACAATAGGCCTCATACATGTTTCTTCCGAAACATTAAGACGAAGCAGAACTAATCTGACTTAACAATGGCAAGTGTGACCTTGCCGAAACGTCGTCAAAACAATGGTTTTTCTAAAAACCAAAATTATTTAACGCGGAGTCAAACCCGGAAAACATCAGAAATCATATATATATATATATATATATATATATATATATATATATATATATATATATATTAATATATATATATATATATATATATTAATATATATATATATATATATATATATATATATATATATATTATGTAATACAATTTTGGTTTAATTTTTTTAATCACGCTTGTTGCTTGTTTGCACAGTGCTACTTTGTAACTTTATATTTTTCTGTATAAATGTAATATCGAATTACATAATTTCGGTCCGTATTATTTCAGAAAATGGAACGCCCATTTAAGAAATTCCGATTTGCCATCGACAGGGGAGGTACATTCACAGATGTCTTCGCTAAATGCCCTAGCGGAAAAATCAGAGTTCTGAAATTGCTCTCAGAGGATCCTCAACATTACAAGGATGCTCCAACGGAAGGAATCAGGCGTATATTACACGAGGTAAGATTTAAAGAAATGTACATCTGCGAAATCTAATCAAAGTTTACCATTAACACGGCATTTTCTCTATGTTTATCGTTTGAAAAAATTAGTTTAGTAAAATTTATCTTACAATAATTTCTCAAAAATATTGTGTTGAACACATATACTTAATTATTTTCAGTTATAGTACTATAACCTGCCCTATTTATGTTTTTGCATATTTCCGAGTATTCATTCGTTCCTTTTGGCTGTAAAGTTTGGTAGACGTTTTGGTGAAGTCCCAGTCGTTATTGACGATAAAGATTTTCCGTTCAATGGTTTTTGTCAATGTTAATAAGTTATATCATGATTTTACATCTTCTCACTTTAAGAACGTGTATATAAAGGTACACAGCCTCATCTTCTGTGTTCTATTAAAATTTTATAAGTGCGATTTTTTTTAGTTTGTGAGATGTTTAGTCTTTTGATTACCGATTTCCGTTATATTTATAGCCAAGCGAACGAATGCGTTTATTCACACAATGAAATACCGATTCCCTTGCTGAGTAATTTATCAAGCTGTTTGTTTTGCACGTTTTAGAAAGCACGGTGGTTAAGATTTGAACTCGATTTCGCCAGGAAGAAATCGTATGATTTCTCTTTGTGTTCTTAGATGGCCTAGTTACGTCTGTATATGGTGATTTTGATAACTATTGTCTACGACGGGAATAGGTTTTGTTTCGATATGGAGTAGTGGCTATATCGCTCCGAGGAGACCTAAAGAGGTCGAAATACGTATAAGCGGCTACGTAATACGGTAAATACGTATAAATCTAGTACAGTAATTATGATTCACTTTAACATTTGTAACGTGAAATATCCATAAGGTCTCCAGAATTATTTTTAAGTCCACAGCTCATAGAAATTAAATATTCTTCTTGCCTTTCGATAAAACGACTGCAAGAAAACCTGAGTAGCCTACCTGTTAAATCAGAATCAGAAAATCATAAATGAAATAAGGGATACTAAATATATGATAATTTCTGACTCTATGGTACCCAGATATAGGCCTAATATACCTTTATAAGTGAAAATTTGCCTACGCGAGAGATAGTGCTGCCGTAAACACTCAACCTGTACTTCAGGGTAATACCTGGTGTGCAGACCGGTCTATAAACTGCTGTAGGGTCTGACAATTCTGTAGTGGTGAAAATTTAAACATTTATATTCTACTAGGAGAATATTTAATAGGTAAAATTGAAGGAAAAAGAGCCCCAGGACGAAGAAGAATATCCTGGCTTGCTAACCTGAGAGCATGGTATAGAAAGACCTCAACACAGCTATTTCGTATAGCAACCAACAAAATCATCATAGCCAGAATGATCGCCAACGTTCGGAACGAACAGGCACCCTAAGAAAAATAAGGAGAATATACATCTGCATTAAAGGCAGAGATTTTTGCAATCTTGTAGTGTGCAAGAGAAATTTACATGACTGAATTGAAGCGGATCAATATATGCACAGATAGCCAAGCAGCCATGGGGCTCTTATAAGCCCTAAGGTGGACTCTAGGTTAGTGTGGGGATCATCATCATCATCATCATCATCATTGGCTTTTACAACTCTTCGTGAGTTTTTGCCGCGTTTACTAATGCCTTCCATTGATTCCGATCCTGTGCTATTATTTCCCATGGCCTTACTTCCATCTTCTCCAGGTCTTCCCTGACTGCGTCTTTCCACCTTTTTCTAGGCCTTCCTGTCGATCTTTTACCATCTGGTCTTTCCCAAATCACATTGCTAATCAGTCTGTCGTCATCACTCCGTACCACGTGGCCTGCCCACCTTAATCTATTGGCTTTTATGTATCTTACGATGTTTCCTTTCCCGAAGAGAGTCTCTATTTCATTGTTGTATTTGATCCTCCATTCATTTGTCACGCTGTCCCTGCAAGGACCATATATAATTCGCAGGATTTTGCGTTCCCATACTAATAGCCTATTGATTTCTTTCTTTCTTAATGTCCCTGTTTCACTTCCATATGTCACTGCTGGTCGTATTATGGTTTTGTACATTTGGATTTTGGCACGCCTTGAGAGAAGCTTTGACCTGATTAGATGTTGAATGGCAAAGAATGATTTATTCCCCGCCAGTATTCGTATTTCAACCTCCCGTTCTCCTGTGTTTTCACTGGTAATTGTTGCTCCTAGGTATTTGAATTCTTTAGTGTGGGAATGTCGAGAGGAATTCGACAGTATATATATATCCGGTTTTTTTAGGCGTTACGCCCGTCCGGTAGGGATCTATGGAGGAGTATCAGCGAGCCGCAAGCCCCTATCTCTTGCCGTACTGCTCCACCATAGGCCGATCAGATCCCAGCGTATCCTAGTCTAAGCCGCAGATTCATCTAGAATTTTAAACTGCTGCGTTAGACTTTTTGTTTTCCGTACACCGAGCTGGGGCTCGACCCACATCCACTAAACCATTCGACAGTGAAGCGAATGAGAGGCAGCCGCACAGCCCGCTGAGCTATCTGACCGACAGACTGGCAGAATATAACAGAGTGACATTTTAAGATAACCGGAGAATATACGACAATAAAAGAGTTGATGAAATTGTTAGAAGAGCATCAGCTAAAAAGTATTTCGTTCCAGAGTCGGCCAAGGGAGTGCCAAAAACCATAGTCCGTAACCTGAAAAAAGCTTGGATCTGAAAGCAATATAACTGTTCCTGGAAAAATATGCCAGATCAAGCACAAAATGTGTATTGAATTGACATGTGCTAATAGGGCTGAAGCACTAAGAAAAACAACCAGAAATCTACTCAGCATCTTAACAGGTTCTTTACTGAACATGGGCCATATTGTAAAACGGTCGTGCTGCACATAGTTGGCTTAGTTGGCTCCATTCCTTCATGATACCCATCCCAGGATTCAGAAACTTGGTTCAAGCTTATACAGGTCTAATAGAGGGGTATCATATGTTTTGCAGCCACTTGGTAGTTTCCAAAACGTGTCTCCTGTCTGTGACAACAACATGACAACAAGAGAATCGCAGACAAGAGACACGTTTTGGAGACTACCAACTGACTGCAAAAACATATGATACCCCTCCATTAGACCTGTATAAGCTGGTACCAAGTTTCGGAATCCTGGGATGGGTATCATGAAGGAATGGAATATATCCACTAAACCAACTATGTGCAGCATGACCGATTTACAATAGACGGCTTTCGTTTAGGAAGTTTATATATACCTGTTGTAAAACTAATAAATTATATTTCTTTAACTGGTCTTTCTTACATTTTTTACACATGGAACCCACAGCAAATTTGTTAAAAAGAATACAGTGTTTAATGTCAGCCTAAAATCTCACATGATGTCTAAAAAAACACTTTAAAAATGTTTCCTATCCAGTTTATTTGTTTCATATTCCTAAAAAAATAACATTTATTTTTAATAATTTATCTCTATATTCTTGCGGGGAACACACCTAATAAGAAATTCGAAATTAATACCGATTTTAAACATGGTATTACTGCAAAAAAAACAAGCCATAAAATGTTATTAAGTTAGTGTATATTATTTTAGGAAACTGGTCATGCTCTGGATAGCGAAGGCAATGTAGACAGTTCCCTAATAGAATGGATTAGAATGGGGACTACTGTTGCCACCAATGCACTTTTAGAGAGAAAAGGAGAAAAAATGGCATTCATTATCAACAAGGGTTACAAGGATTTACTTCTAATTGGAAATCAAGCTAGACCAAAAATATTTGATCTGGTAAATATTACTAAATTATTTTATATTCTATGATTTTTTAAATCTTTATTTATGAGTATTCAATCGTTTTTAGTCCTTAATATAACAATTTAATATATTTATTAATTATTAACAGTAAAACGAAACATTAATTAAATATATTTGTATAAAAAAATTATGTATTAATTTTAGTTATGTTGAATACGTACATTGTTTAATAATTTATTTTGATTTTAAATTTATGTCAGAAAGACACTAGTTTGTGTTCATTATATTTTACGTTGTTGATAACCAGTTTTCTATTAGCATGTTGAATATGTTACACATGTGGAGCCATTTAAATTTAGGTAAAGAGAAATAAATAAAACGGCACAATTAATTTATTCTACCACGGAAGACCGGTTTCGCATACGGTAAAATCAAATGATGCCGATACAAGGAATGTTCTTAAATCTACGGGGGGACCAATGCTTAAAGCTTAGTTTTCTGTTGTTTAATGCCGACGCACTTAAAATTATAGTATTGTGTAGTATTTAAACTGTCAACTGTTCCGTTTAGCAACAAAGTGAAGTGGCGCCAAATTTGAAAATTTAATAGTTTTGATTTTAGTCAAAATTGAGACATGAGCAATCATTCCTCGGTGGTCAGATACAAGTTTAACACGTTTCCAGGAGATACACAAAAAAGAAAAATAGTCGTAGAGAAAAAATACAAAAGTATATTCTTCCAGATAGAAGAACATTCCCTCCCCATCGCAAGACATAACGAATGAGGAGGCTTTTGTACTGTGCGTTACTTTGAATGTAAATCCTACGACCACTCGTTATAGAAAAGTAATATAAGATTGTTAGTAAATATTAAGATAAAATAATAATAGAGAGTATAATAGCAATGGGTGGAGTGTGTACTCTCAGGAGTATACGGCCATCACAAACACCATGTAAATATTTTTTCGGTTTTTATCTTTTACAGTATAGCTGGTTAGTGAAATAAAACATAACCATCTATCTGTATAAGGATTTTTACAGCTGTCGCTGCCTTTCTTTTTTTAGCCAACGTCTCCAGTCCTTTCTGTTCTGCCATTCTTCATCTCTAAGGTCTCGTCTTTCCATGGCCTCGTCCACTTCATCCCTTTATGATCTTCGGGGTCTACCTCTTTTCCTTCTGCCTGTTGGGGAAATAAAACATAACTTAATAAAAAAAAAGATAATGTAGGGATTTATTTTCTGTTACTGCGTATATTTGGGTTATTTCCATATCTTGCTAGCTGCTGCTTGGGCCGTCTTTGTATTGTCCTTAAATTTTCGGCATGGTCTGTCAACTCTCTTAATAATCTGCTCGGGTGGTTCCTGAGGTTGTTAAATATTTCGTGTGCTCTTTCATCCATTGTTCTCAGGATTCTCTTTTGTTGTGAATCCCTAAATACGTACCTTAATGAGTTGGTTTTACACGTATTTCCCCATGTTGCTGAGGTGTATGTGGGTGTTGGCAAAATTATGCTGCATAAAAATGATAAGAGATGATAAGATAAAAAGTGATAAGAGTTTACTCCTGAGAGCTTTAGCTCTGTTAACCGTTTATTTTAAGGTCAGCTTTTTATCCAACGGAATGCCTAGATATTTGGCTTCGTTTGACCATTCGATTGGGATATCGAATAGGGATTGTACCCCATTTAGTCTGACTTTTCTTTTTCGGTACATGACGGCGTCTGTTTTGTCAGGATTGACAGCTATTTTCCACGGCACACACCATACCTTAAGTTCGTTGAGTGCTCTTTGCAGATTTGGGATAATACTGCTACCAGCTATCGTTGTATCATCTGCGTAGACGCTTAGAATCGAACTGGTTCCAGATGGTGTGTCTGCCGTATATATGGTGTATAAATATGGCGACAGCACTACCCCCTGTGACATACCATCTTCGGATAGGGTTGGCGCTATCCGAACTCTGAATCTTCTGTCGGTTAGGTATGATGAAAGGAGACAGGTCATCGCCTCGCCACAACCATACTGGTTCATTTTATACAGCAGGCCTTCGTGCCATACTCTATCAAAAGATTTACTGGCATCAAGAAAGGCTGCTGCTATATATTTCTTTTCATTGAACCCTTTCGTGACATATTTGGTTAGTCTCAGAACCTAAAGTTCACATGAGTGTTCGGATCTAAATCCAAACTGTGCTTTCAGTATTGTTCCGATTGCTTCTGATTCTTTTTTAGTCTAGTTAGTATAATCCACTCTTCGATTTTGCTTTAAGCTTATCGGTCGATAGTTTTGTGGAAATGTGCCATTTTTACCTGGTTTGTGGATCATTATTACTTGAGCTTCTTTCCATCTGTCAAGAAAGTATCTTAGTCTGAAGATGTTGTTAATTACATTTACTATTTTAAGATTATATTTATCATTTTGTTAAAGTATTGTAAATACGTTGGTGTTTGAATAAATTTATTTTAAAGAAGTATGACATTGGTGACAGCGGTGACAAAGAATATAAATTTTCTTTGTATAAGATATTTCCTGTGGAAGATTTTGAAATTGTGGGATACATGGCAGATAGTCCTCGAACGCCAATTTCTAAAATTTCCTCAACAATCAATAAAATAGCATCTTCATGTACTGCTGATACATCATTATGTCACCGTGTTTCATTTTTTTGGGAAAACTAAACTTGTTTCTCTTAAAAGGAATACATTTCGCAACAAATTTAATATATATATATATATATATATATATATATATATATATATATATATATATACATATATATATATATATATATATATATATATATATATATATATATATATATATATATATATATATATATATATATATCAGCCTATTCATCATTGGTAAAAACAATTTTTGTTAAATCTAATTGTTATGTTGAATACCACAAAGTAAAATCTACAAGAGAAACTTCGCGAAACGACCACAATTTGACATTGAAAAACGTAAGTCATACATCTGTTGACAGTTTAAAGCCAGCTAGTGCAAACAATATTACCACTTGCCGGAAGCCGGAGACAGCATTCTGTCTCCGGCTTCTATATAAAATGTAGCTTTTCCTTTTTTAAAAATTTTAAAGTGTTTGTTTGTCTTTGTGTATTATATTGTTATGTCCAAATTTACATGTATGACATTCTGCTCATGTCGGATAGGCCACAACTGACGAAATGCCCCTGAGGATGATCTATTGATCGAAAGTACTTGGGCAAGATTTAATTAATTACTGTGTTCGATATTTGCCTTGTATACCATCAAAGTTCAAAAAATATTAATTTAACTTTTATGACGAAAAAACGAAGAATTTTTAAATTGGTTATTCTCGAAAACGGTGTATCTTACCGACTTAAAATACGAGTAGCTTTGATTACTTCTTCTTCTTCTACTTTTTGTAGATCTTTCGATATGTTTAATTCTGAAGCTGCCTCTGGTTAATTTCTTGGAAGGTAGATTGCCAACTATCCCTCCATCTTTTAGGTGGTCTTCCGGGGGGTCTTGAACCGGGCGGATTGTTTTCTAGGGCACTTTTTGGGAGTCTATTCTCATCCATTCGTCTTACATGGTTGTACCACATCCTCTTGCGCTGCCTTTCCCATCTTACAATATCTTGAATTTTGCACTGCTCTCTAATGTTTGTATTTCTCGCTCTGTCTCTTCTTGTTTTCCCCATTATTGTTCTTAGGGTTTTCATTTCGGCAACCCTTAGCATCTGTTTCGTTTTGTTAGTATCTTCGCGCACTTCTATGCCATATGTCATGATCGACCGTATGCAAGTCTTATAGATTCTAATTTTACTATCTGTGCGCATATACGGATTTGACCAGACTATCTCCCGCAGACATCCTGACAGTGCAGATGCCTTGTTGATCTGACTCCTCAGGTCCTTTACTGGGTCGTGGGTGCTTGATATATCTATGCCCAGATATCTGAATTGCATCACCTGTTCTATGGGGTTGTCCTCAACTACTAACTTACATCTGAGCGGATCTTTTGCTATTGTCATACATTTAGTTTTGTCGGTAGAGATGTTCATATTTAGTGGTCGGCTTGTTTGAAAGAACTGAAAGAGCTGCCTTTGGAGATCATCTTCTGATTCGGCAATAATTGCTGCATCGTCTGCGTAACACACCATACCAATTCTTTTGTTGCCCATTCTATATCCGAGATTAAGAGATGTTACTTTGTGATAATTTTGCCCATGAGAAGATTAAACAAGAAGGGGCTTAAACTGTCGCCTTGTCTAATTCCTCCCGGTGTTGGAATATTTTCAGTGAATTCGTCTCTTGCTCTAACTTTGGTTACGTTGTTGTTATTTAGTTTTTGGAGTATCTTTGTTATACTGGTCGGTGTTTCATTTTCTATTAATATATTTAGAATGTCTCCCAGGCGAACTCTGTCAAATGCCTTCGTCAAATCAATGAAGCAAATATACGCTGGCATGCCGAACTCTATATCTTTTTCTTTTATTTGTTTTATTATAAATACTGCGTCTGTTATAGACCGCCCTTTTGTAAAACCTTGTTGTTCTTCAGCATTAGTGATTTGCTTTTCCAATTTGTCCTTGAGAATACCCGTGAAAAGTTTCATTGTTGTATTTAAGAGGGTTATTCCTCTATAGTTTTGTGGGCAGGTTTTTTGTCCTTTTTTAAATATGGGGATTGTGATACTATTATGCCATTCCTCTGGTGTTTCTGTTTTGTTTAATATTTTGTTAAATAGTTGTGCCAATTTACTTGCAAGTTCCGGGCCTCCATATTTTCAAAAGTTCATTGGGTATACCATCCGTTCCCGGTGATTTTCTGTTTTTTAGCTTTTTGATCTTTGCTTCTACTTCTTCGTCATTGATTGTAGCACTCACATCTGTTTCGCCTTCGTTTATATTCAGCGTTTCTTCAGCATCAGCTCCTTAAAATGCTGTTGCCATGTTTCTATAGGTACTCCTTTGGTCTGCACGAACTCGTTAACTGGTTTTTTCCTGTTGCGGAGCATTTTCCATACTTTCTTTTGGGCACCATATAGGTCGTAGTCCATGTCGCAAGTGAATTTGGCCCAATGTTCTCTTTTGATTGATTTTATTCTGGCGTTTACTTCGTTTCTTATTTGGACATATTCTGCATGAGCTTCTTCCGATTGCGTGCTTTTATATCTCAGGTAGCATTTGCGTTTTAATTCAGAGAGTTCTTTTACCTCTTGGCAAAACCACGGTTTGGTGTGGTTTGTCGCTTTCGTGTTAATTTTCCGCTTTCCAATCGCTTCTTCTGCTGCTTCGTTGATGCATTTCTTAATTTTTTGCCAAGTATCTTCTACTCCCCATTCGGGTTTTAAGTCGATCTCTTTTAGTTTGCTGGTAATCCTGTTATCATAAAGCAGTTTTGTACTCTCTGTTGCTAGCGACTCTATATTATGTTTTTCGATGAACATTGGGGGTTTTCTGTTTCGTTGCGGACGTTCTAGTAGCATCTTGCATAAAACAAGGTTATGATCAGTCCCCAGGTTAGCAGATGTTAGTGCTCTGACATCAAGTACTTGTGACGGAGTTATCGCTCGATTTGTGATTATAAAATCTATTATTGATCGCTGGCCTCGATTATTGTTAAAAGTGTATTTATGTTGGTCTTTATGAATAAAGTTTGTATTGTTGATTCTCATTTTATTTCAAGCGCAAAAGTCTATTAGTGCTTCGCCGTTTTTATTAATTATTTCTTCGCTGTACTTTTGTTTTATACCTGGTATGACAACGTTTCCGATCCGTGCATTAAGATCCCCGAGTACGATAATTTTGTGTTTCGTATTTATGTTATCTACGACGTTTTGTAGTTGCTGATAGAAATTTTCAGTTTCTGCTGTGGGCTTAGATATGTCTGGGGCATACGTGCTTATCAGGTGTGTTGTGATGTTACGTATTTTTATAGAGATTTTTAATAATCTATCGTTGATATATTCGATATCTTCGATGTTTTGCGTGTATTTATCGTGCAGCAAAATTCCAACTCCTGAATGCGCTCTTTCTTGTTTAGCTTTCCCGCTGTATATGAGTATAAATTCTCCGTATTTTGATGTTCCTTGGCCTTTTTTCTTTGTTTCGGAGATTCCGCAGATGTCAATATTGTGTTTCTTCATTTCTATTATGATCTCCTGGTCTCTTCCGTTCCACGAGGTAATGTTCCAGCACGGGATTCGTGTGATGGGGTCTTTAGGTTTTCGTTTACCAATTCGTTTTTCCATTGTCATAGCGTGTGTCGTCATCTGATATTTCCGTCCGGTATCCGAGGCTGAATCTTTAATTCTGTGAGCCAATATGGGTTTCTTTACCCCAGGTAGGTGGCTAGCCTTGCCATTGGGACCCTCCTCCTTTATCCGGGCTTGGGACCGGCAGTGTCATCCGATGAGCTACTCAATCCACCCATCAGAGAACCCAGGCGGAGTTACCTTTGATTACTATAATACCTAAAAATCTAATAATGTAGTACCACGAATGCCTAAAAGTTAAAAAAAAATTATGCGTTAAACTAACCGTTGACCTACTCAAATTAGACGCCTATGACCGATACTAGAAATTGGCAATTAATGGAATCGATTTAACTATGGAGGATAAATAATCGTACCAGTTTTCGTTTTTCTAAATAGAAGCGTTCTGGAGGTATTTAAACAAACTAATTACAAGCAGCCATCTTCAAAGAGCCCTAGTATCCTTAGGAAGCATTTTCGGACTAGGTCTTCTTCTTCTTCTTTGAGTACTGTGCCCAAGTTTTAGGAGTGGGTAGATTAAATGATGATTTGCCGATATCGTTCTTGATCTTGCGCGACATGTAATAATCCATCTGCTGATAATTCAGTCCGTTGACAAAGATTTCGGAGCCATGAGTATTTCTTTCTACCAATTCCTCTTCTTCCGTCGATCTTTCCGTTGCGTATCAACTGCATTATCCTGTATCTGCTTCCTCTCATTATATGTCCCATATATTCGAGTTTTCTCTTTTTTATCATCTTTATTAAGTCACCATCACCTTGACCTACTCTGTTCAAGACTTGTCTGTTTGAAATATGTTGAACCCAGGATATTCTGAGCATTCCACGATATAACCACATCTCGAAGGCTACTAATTTGTTCATCATGTTAACTTTCATCATCCAGGTTTCATATCCATACGGTAATACAGAATACACATAACATTTTAGGAACTTAATTCTTAGCTATAAGTTCAGCAGAAAATTGCTCAGAATAGATCTAAGTTTCATAAATGCACCTCTTGCAATTTCTATGCGAATTTTAATTTCTTCATCCAGATTTAGTGTCTCGTCTATCCAACAACCTAGATATTTACAATGGTTAACTTTTGTTACCGGTTCATTATTGACAATTAGTTGTATAGCGCCGAGGTCTTGTTTACTGACCACAAATAACTTTGTCTTTGTTGTATTTATGCTTAGTTCGTTATTAGAGTATTCTTTAATGACTTGATCTATAAGAAATTGAAGATCTTCGATACTTTCAGCCATGATTGCGGTGTCATCTGCATATCTGATGTTATTAATAGTTTCTCCCCCGATTCTAACTCCACATTGCCCTTCCAAGGCTTTGTTAAAAATTATTTCGGAGTAAACGTTAAACAAAGTTGGGGACAACACACAACCCAATCTAACATCTCTTTGAATACAAATTTTGTCTGTTTTTTTGCCGTCTACCAGAATAGAAGCTTCTTGATTCCAATAGAGATGTTGTAAAAGTCTCAGATCCTTATCATCTATTCCAATTATTTCTAGATATTCAAACAGCCTACCATGTTGAACCCTATCAAACGCCTTCTCAAAATCTATAAAACAGACGTAAATTAGTTTATGTGCTTCCCATTATCGTTGAAGTAATATTAGCATTGAGGACAAAGCTTGACTTGTTCCCAATCCTTCTCTGAAACCGAATTGTTTATTTCCCATTGTGTCTTCACATTTCTGCTTGATTCTATTAGGAATTATCCTAAAAAGTAGCTTGAGAGAGTGACTCATGAGACTAATTAGTGTAAAGTCTTTACATGATGATGTATTAGGTTTTTTTAGAAGTGGGATAAATGTAGACTCCAACTATATTTGTGGTAGTGTTCCAGTTTCGTATATGTGGTTATAAATGTTTGTTAGTTCTGAGACATTGTCGTCGTCTAGAAGTTTGAGCCAGTTTGATGGTATTTGGTCAGGGTCTGGAGATTTCCTATTTTGCTTTGTTTAATGGCTTTCTCTACTTCTGCTTTTAAAATACTGGGACCAGTATTCGTAAACTTTGTGGCGTTAACTGGTGGCCTCGTATCCAGAAAAAGCTCTTTTATGTAGCAATCTTCCATTTTTCGTTTTTTTTTGGACTAGGTGAATTGGATTAAATTGTGCTAAAATTATCTAAGGAATCTCCGGTTTTCGTTTATCGAAAGAGTTTCTGGACACCCTGTATGTTATTAAAAATTTATCAATGACACTAGTTGGAAAAAATAGCTTGACATTTTTGATACAATATGTGTGTCGATAGTTTCTTCACTTTACCTTACATCTCGCTGAACTTGTAAAGACAAACAATTTTACTTATTGTTTTTAATTTCAAACATTATAAAAGTTTTTAGATATTTATTTGCCGAACCGAGTATAGTCTAATTTTTAAAATTTAATTTTATTCTTGTGCTGTGTTTTATAACTGGAAAATATTTATCGCAGTATTCGCAATACCTTTGTAAATCATGAGGGGATCCGAAAAACGGTTACTGATAGAAAATGGTCAGTCAGATAGCTCAGCGGGCTGTGCGGCTGCCTCTCATTCGCTTCACTGTCGAATGGTTCAGTGGATGTGGGATCGAGCCCCACCTCGGTGTACAGAAAAACGCAGCAGTTTAAAATTCTAGATGAATCTGCGGCTTAGACTAGAATATGCTGGGATCTGATCGGCCTATGGTGGAGCAGTACGGCAAGAGATAAGGGCTTGTGGCTCGGTGATACTCCTTCATAGATCCCTACCGGACGGGCGTAACGCCTAAAAAACCGGATATATATGATAGAAAATGTTATTCAAAGTTATGTTCTAGATAAGTTCTAGAAAAAAACCTAGTATATCTTAATATTTTTTACTTTTAATTTTACAGAATATCAGGCGACCACAAATTCTCTATTCAGCCGTAGTAGAAGTAGACTGCCGAGTAATACCCATGTTGGAAGGAAAATGTAAACTTGAGCCTCAATATACTAGTAATTGGAGGATTGTTGAGGGAAAGACAGGAGAGAAGTTTTATGTTACAAAAGAGCTCGATAAAGATGAAGTAAAGCAAAGCTTAATAAAACTTAAAGAAAACGGCATTGAAAGCATATCCGTAGCCATGTTACATAGTTATACAGTGTACGAGCAGGAATTGGAAATAGGAAAAATTGCGAATGAAATAGGTATCTATTTTTCTATTATTTAATAATGCATGTATGTATAGTGTTAACAGGCATTTTAGACCCATTGCTGGAAAAATAATTTCCATCGTTTTCAGTTTTCAGCTATCAGCTTCCAATCCTGGATTTCCATCTCTCTAACATCTTCCATCAGTACATCTCTCCATTTATTTCTTGCTCTTTCTTTGGTTTTGCCCTCAGGTACTTTCCAAGCCATATTCTTGACTAGTCTATTACCTTGCATTCTTTCTAGATGTCCGAACCATTCTAGTCTACGTTTTTTCACTACTTTTTTTATTCTAGGGTAAGCATTGGTACACTTCTACATTAGTTCGTCTTCTCCATTCTCCTTCTACTACTTTTCCACCAAACATTCTGCGAATTATCTTTCCCATGCATCCAAACTGTTCTTTATGGTTTCGTTCATAGTCCATGTCTCGGCAGCATATAGCATTGTAGGTCTAATTATAGTTTTGTATACTCTTATTTTTGTATTACGAGATATATCTCTGGCCTTAATTATTTTGCTCATGGCCCCAGCACATACGTTGCTTTTAATCAGTCCTAGGTTGATTTTAGTTTCTTCCTTACATGTCTAATCAATAAGAGTACCAAAGTACATACATTCATTCTCGAATTCTACAACTGATCCATCCTCTACCTTGAATTTAAAGGGGCCCATAGTGTTTATTCCTTTTTTTGCTCGAGATTTCTATGTACTTGGATTTATTAACATTAACTTTTAATCCCTTTTTAGAGCTTTTTTGAATTAGTCTTTTTGCATACTTGCCAGTTTTTTTCATTTTCTTGCAACGAGAACTACATCATCAGCGTAGGCTAAGCATTGGTGATCTTTGTATAAAAGAGTGCTAGATCTATTTATCCCACTAAGCCTTAACAATGTTTTCTAGAACTATATTGAATAGAAAGGGAGACAACGAGTCTTCTTGGCAAGCACCTTTTTTCACTTCGAATTTTTCTGAGAGTGTACAGTTGCATTTCACATCAGAAATCGTTTGTGCACTTTGTTTTCTAATTGTCATTTTTACCAATCTTTTAGCGTTTTTATTAATTTGTTTCTGTCTATTGTATCGTAGGTGGCTTTGGATTCAATGAAAATGAAATGTTGTATTCATTGCAATTGATCAGGATTTGTTTTAGCATAAAAAAATTGTTAAGTTGTTGATCTTCCCTTTTTTGCATATTACTTCTATTTTAGGTTTTTGTATATTTCCTCTAACAAGAATATTCCTCTATAGTTTGGACATTCAGTTCTACTTCGGCATTCCACACTTGTATTACTATCTGACTAAGTTGGTTTATTAAAACCTCTCCTCCATGTTAAGTTGATGTTTGTGATCGAGACCTAATAACTTTGAGTTGTGTAAAAGTTTTAGGGAACTTGACGTTGTAAAATTCAGCCAGCACACTTTAGATGGATAGGGCATCTAATAAGGCAAGAGGAAGGTGTAACAGTCTAAAAAGTTTTTTACCGAAGATGGCTGATGAGACAACGAGCCAGAGAAAGACCAATACTTAGATATCAAGCCAACCTAGAGAATGATTTCAAATCTATTGGAGTTAGACCATGGAGAACAGTTGCCAGAGACAGAGGCAAATGGAGGATTGTTGTGAAAAAGGTTTTTGCACATAACGATTTGTGATGCTACTGATAATGCTAATATATAATCCGTATGCAATGTAGGCTTTCCTAACTACATTTCAAGTTTTTATCTTGGCTCACACAAACATCCCCTTTAACAACATGCCCTGCCTTAACGTCTCCTACAGGTCTTCTTTGGTCTTCATCTCATACTCCTTTTAGGATCTTTTAAATAAGCAATTTTTCCTATTTTCGTATTGGTCACGGGCGTAGCTGTTGAATTTTTTCAACAATAAATATGCTTAGATGGTGAGAACACTAGGAATAATTTAGGAAACTTTTTAAAATAAAACCTTTATTTCACAAACACAACTTACATGAAACTGATTGGATTCCCAGAGAAGAGACATTTATATTTTTAGGTAACATAAATTTTTTACTATCTAAGTAGAATTCTTTATTAGACTGACAAGAAGTCACACACACACACACACACACACACACACACACACACACACACACACACACTTCCACACAGTGATTAACCCCGCCCCTAAGGAACATGTGTATACCATTGTATAGTGGAATCTACATATCCGAAGATCAAATCGGTCACACTTCGTTATTAAAGTTGTACCTATCTGACCCCAGGATTCTCCTCTACCCCTCCTCATCGCGTGACTTACGTGAGGAGGCTTATGATCTGAAAATTGCTTTGAATGCCCTGGGTAATGGAACATCCTTTGTTTTTATTGACTGTGGTCAAGCGACCTAACTGTAGGGGTAGCACACATATCAGCTTTTCTCCCTATTTACTTTACTGACTCTATAGAACTTACTCTCACTTGACGTCGGGATTTGAGTCCCTAAAAGAAAAGTGTGTGTTTCGTCCAGAGAGCCACCAACCTAAGTTGGTAACTCTCTGACCGAAAAAATGTGTATGCTCGGCCACTCAGCCGCCGATATGGCAAACTAAATTTTTTTCTCCTCGCCGACCAAGCAACCGAGTGGGGTCCGGCCACCGAGCCCATGTATGCCGTACATGACCTTAGTGCTCGGAGTTCGCGAATAGATCTTACTTGATCTGACTGAGGGGCCTAGTCCGCTATTGTGGTTTTATAAAAGACCTGACGGGCCTTTTATACATGTTTAGTTTATTATTATATTGCCTCACCCGATTTCAGCAATCCCGCGATGACTTCGTCAAAAAGCATTTTTTTTGTATCCTTCACCTAGTTAGTTCGCCCTTTGTCCTTTATATCTCGTTTCTTGAATCTACTAACTTTATATTCTTATCTGTAGGACTTTCAAGGTTCTAAGACCCGATCCTGATTTTTCTAACATGTTATGTTGTTTTGCCTAAATAAGTTCTTACCTGGAAATAAAAAAAAAAGCAAATTTGCTTTCGTAACATTTTACCTAAAAATATACCATAATTTAAGCACAATTTTTATTGACTCAAAAAGGGTTTTTCATTACTATGTCTGAGAAGATTTTTAGAAATTTGATGACTGAATGTCTTTTCTACCAAAATCATGTCTAGCACGATTTCTTCACCACTATTAAAAGCAAAATGCAGTCTTATTGGTCTTCTTCTTTGGCTTTTCGCTATTATGAGTTCGCCGTTTTCGTCCTCCACAGCACTCTATTTTCCCAGTCATCTTCTCTGAGTCTCTATCTATCATAGCATTACCTATGTATGTTTTCCATCTTGTAGCAGGTTTTCCTCTCCATCTTCTTTTCGCCGGGTCCAATATTCTTTTCGGCCACATGTGCTCTGGCATTCTTTGTACATGACCGTACCACTGCTGGGTTCTGTTTTTCAACTTTTTTGTAATTGAGTATTCTTCTTCCAGTCTGTTCCATATTTCCTCTGTTTTTCTGGTATCCGCTCTGGTGATTTGTATACATCTTCATATAAAGTCCAGTTCAACTGTTCTTATTTTATTTTGTATTGATGTGTTCATTGGCCATACTTCCACTTCAAATAGGGTAATACTCATCTCTATGCTCTGAAAGATCCTTTTTTTGTTTTCTCTGGTTGAAGTGCTCCATATCACTTAACGAAGTGCCTTCGGGGCTTGTTTTCTCCATGCTGTGTTCATTTTTATATCTTTCATACAAGTACCATCTCGGCTTATCATTGATCTTAAATACTTAAAAGTCTTACAACTACTAATAGTGTCTACTTCTAAACTTATTTTCAAAACATCGGATCTAATACAGAAGTATTCGGTCTTACACACATTTAACTCGAGTTCCCATAGCTCATATCCTTCCTTTAATTTCCGTATTTGCGTTATATCCTCCTTGTCTTGTGCAGAAATATCTTGGTCATCTACGAAAAGAAGTGAATGTATTATACTGTCTTGTACTGGTATGCCCATTATTTCGCATTTTTAATACCATCTCTTCAAAGCCTTATCAAAATCTTACTCTAAACCCGTCTATATTTATCTGTACAGGTTAGGATATTTACTGTAAGGACTATCCTGTAAGCCAATATATTGTCGCCCGTATCACGCCTCTAGGAGGCACGTATTTCAATATCAGATACGTGTTATGTAATATAACATAAAAGAATATACTATGTATCTTAAAATGAAATATATTCGTTCTAAGGATTTTGTGTTTGAGAAGATTCATGAATATAATGTGTGTTATACCCATAGTGTACATATATTATATAAAATGTCTCCTTATTGTAAAAATAATATAGTAAATGAGTATTACTTATTATTGACACGTAGTAAAATAATTGTGACTTTTAGGTTTTAAGCATGTTTCTCTTTCACATCAAGTAATTTCGATGGTAAGAATAGTTCCAAGGGGATTTACTTCTTGTGCGGATGGATATCTCACGCCACACGTTAAAAAATACGTTAAGGGCTTTTCCGAAGGTTTTAAAAACAAATTAAAAGGTACCAGGGTTTTATTCATGCAAAGTGATGGCGGCTTGACTCCAATGCACAACTTCAACGGTGCTCGTGCAATTTTATCCGGGCCTGCTGGTGGGGTAAGTACTTTTTTCTCAATATCTATTATTTTTAACGAAAAATTGTATTAATTCGAAGTTGAATGTTAGAAGAGGTATATAAAATAATTGTTGGATGGATATATAGTGAACTAAATTTTAACAGATACCTCTATCCAATAGAAACGTCATCCAAATGGGCAGTTTTAAAGACAAACAACATCATTTGGAATGAACATTTACTTATAATCACTTATAAACATTTATATTGAGTTGAAAAAATAACAAATAATTGTAAATTGCTTGAGGTACGTAAATTATGAAATTAAGAAAGGTAAGTTACTGTTTAGATGGAACACGCCAACATTACCGTCGTAGTCCAGGCTGGATTTGTATTGAATTAGACATTTTCCGAATGAGTTTTTTTTTTCGATTTTTTTTTCGAAAGTATTCTTTTGCTAGAATTACTTTAGCATGTATCTTGTATCAATAATCACGATATGCGTCAGTCGCAAATATTGTAATTAATTTTTTATTTAATAAAATCTGAACTCGAGAAAAATCGAGAATTTTTACTTTTTGCGTCCATATTTTCGACTATAACTCCAGAATATGCAAAAAATGGAGATTCCACTTTAAGTTTCTTCGATACTTTAAAAATAACTTACAGTTTTTATATTACGCCTAGAAGCCTATAATAATTTTGCAATTCGGCTGCAAAAAAGTTTCTCAAAACAGATGGAACACTACTTCTACGTAACACAAAAAGAAATATGAAGAATGATTGGAGGACATACTTTTGATCTCTATTTGCTAAAGGTGATGATATTGAACCACCAACACCAGAGGTGACGACAAACGAACAAATAAATATTGAGGAGGAAGAGGTAAAGAAAGCATTAAGTAAATTAAAAAATAGAAAATCACCAGGAGAGGACAGAATTCCGAACAAACTCCTAAAGAACGGAGGACCAGATCTGACCAAACAACTATTAAAACTAATACAAAAAATAATAAAACAAAACAGAATTCCTCAAGAATGAAGATCAAGCTTCCTACCTACCTCTCTCTAAAAAGTAAGAAAAATCATACCCGGAAAATGCAGAGGAATTAATTTATTAAACAAAACACTAAAATTAACAACCAAAGTAATAACAAATAAACTGAATATAATTATAACACTAGCACAAGAACAACAAAGTTTTAGGTCGGGAAGATCACGCACTGATGCTATATTTATAATGAGGCCAGTGCAAGAGGTCATTAGAATACAACAAACCAACAAACCGGCATATTTATGTTTCGTGGACCTTACGAAGGCATATGATTGGGTCAAATTAAAAGACGTTATCCACTTAATGTAAGCAAGAGATATACCTATAGGAATCATCTAATTGATCGGAATTATCTACCAAAACAACACAATAAAAGTAAAAGTAGAAGAGCTGGCAATGGAATAGAACAGGAAGATTCCCTGAGTCCTCTACTGTTCAACCTGATTATGGATGAAATAATAAAAAAAATAGAACTAAAAAAGGATACCAAATGTGAGAAAAACAGCTTAAAATAATCTGCTATAACCGCCAGAAAATTTAATATTTTAATTTCCCCAAAGAAGTCTCAGTTGAAGAAGAGCAGTGTATTCATGAAGTCGTAAATGCACCATATCAAATGGCTCCACCTATTAAATCTATTAGGAAATCAGAGATCAAAGAAATAATTAATAATCTGGAAAATAAAAAGCCACCTGGATATGACTTAATATCTAGCTTAGTACTAAAAAATCTACCCAACGAAGGCGTAAGTTTAATTACTAACATATTTAATTCAATATTAAAAACAGGTTATTTTCCACTCCAATGGAAAGTTGCTCAAATTATTCTTATTCCAAAACCTAATAAAGATCACACGGAAGTATCTTCATATCGCCCAATTAGCTTGTTGCCTATTATATCCAAAGTATTTGAAAGAATTTTTCTGAGAAGACTGGAGATTATTTTATATGACAGTAATGTTTTACCGAATTATCAATTTGGGTTTAGGTAACAACATGGTACTATCGAGCAAATTCATAGGGTGGTAAAGGCTATTAGAAATTCGCTCGAACAAAAAAAATACTGTACTGCTGCATTTCTAGATGTCTCTCAAGCATTCGACAAAGTTTGGCATGTAGGTCTTATTTCTAAAATTAAATCCATATTTCCTGATCCTATAAGCTCACTTGTAAGATCCTACTTGACAGATCGATTCTTTCAAGTCAAAAGAGGTGAGGAAATCACTAACCTGTTTCCAATTTTTTTCGGAGTTCTACAAGGAAGCATACTAGGACCCACCCTCTACTTAATATACACATCAGATCTCCCAACGACGACCAATACAACAATCGCTACATATGCTGATGACACAGTTATCATGGTTTCAAATTCTACAGCAACTGAAGCATCCCAGGTATTACAAAACCACCTACTTAAACTAGAGAGCTGGCTTAAACTGTGGCAAGTCCAAGTTAACAGTTTAAAATCAACACAAATAACGTTTACTTTAAAAAAAGGTGTCGCGCCACCAGTTTCTATAAACAACACTCCACTACCAGTTAATACCGTCGTTAAATACTTAGGAGTTCATTTGGATAGCAAACTTAATCGGGGTATTCACATCTGGAAGGAACGCCTTCAACTCAGCTTAATCTACAGGAAAATGTATTGGTACATGTGTCGAAAATCTAATCTAAGCCTGGAGAACAAACTTCTAATATATAAATGTATTTTAAAACCGGTATGGCAATATGCAGCACAAATCTGGGGTACAGCAAGTAATACCAACATACAAAAACTTCAACGATTCCAATCGAAAGTACTGCGCCAGATCTGCAATGCCCCTTGGTACATTACGAACTACAGATTACACCACGATTTACAGTTACCAACAGTTAGCGAAGCAATATCTGCCGTAAACGCTGTATACAAGACCAGACTATCCTGCCATCCAAATCCGCTGGCCACGGATTTGCTCAACATTTCACACGAAAGAAGATTAAAACGTCCAGACCCTTTGGACCTCTAGTAAACATGGAGAAACAGAGTATAGTGTCATAGTGCGGTGAAATAACAAGTTTTTTTTCTGGTGTTTTCTAAATCTTTTCTTGATTTTTTTTTTCTTTTTTTCCATTTTTTAGTCTTGTAATACTTATATGTGTGTCAGTGATGTTTATCTGTATTAAACTTTGTTTGTTAAGTTGAAGTTTAAATTAATTGTTATATCATAATATATTATATTTATATTATGTGTTACCTGGGTGCCTGCCACTGGGCGGCGTCCCACTATGTTATTGTACATAAATTATACATATTGCTTATTGTTTGTAATGAGACAGATTGCAATAAACATTGGATGTTAAAAAAAAAAAATTCCCCAAAAAAGATAAAATGCATGGTTTCAACAGAAAATTTACTAAAATGTAAATTGGAGCTGGAACGTCAGATAATAGAACAAGTGATGAAGTTTAAATATGTAGGCATCACAATATCCAGTTACGGAAAGCTCGAAACTGAAGTAGAAAATCAAGTGAATAGAGCAAACAGAGCCGCAGGCTGCCTAAATAAAACATTATAAAGAAATAAAAATATCGGGAAAGAAACGAAAGGCAGAATTTACAAAACGATCATCAGACATATAATAACGTACGCGGCAGCAACAAGACCTGACACAGAGAGGACAAAAAGGATGTTATAAACAGCAAAGATGAAAAATACTTATAAAAATTGATGGTAAGACACTATGGGACAGAGCTAGAAGTACAGACATACGACGTAGATGGAAGGTGAAGAACATCAAGAACTGGGTAAGAAATAGAAGAATAGAATGGAACGATCATATAAGCCGAATGACAACAAATAGAGTATTAAAGACGACAAGAGACAAAAGACAACTTACTGGAGACACATTGAAAAACAGACAGAGCCATGTCTATATAAAAAGAAGAAGAAGAAGAAGAGGCTGCAAAAAAGTAAAAAATTTGAAAATTATGCTGGGCCCAAAAATATTAAAAATTCCAATTTTTTTTCACATATCATGAAAGATTTAAACTTTCAAACCGCAATTTGAAAAATTGAAATCGGTGTACTAGGCGAATCTAGTAAACTTTTTAAAGTTACAAAGAATTTTTTCAAATTATACGTCATTTTCAAATTTAATAAATTCATAATTATTATAAAAGTGCTCAAATAAATTAATTCTAAATATGGTAATTATTTTTAAGGTAGCATTTAACAATTGGTGCCAGTAGAAAGTGGGATTAAGTGAAAAAATTATTGTCCAAAATTTATAGGCTAAAAACAAGAAACGAGACCAAGATGAAGGAAATTCGAGATATAATTGCGACAATGGAACAACGTCGTATAAAAGAAAAAGAGGCTGACGAAAAATGTCAAGAAGAAAAAGAAAAACGTCGACAAGAAGCTGAAGAGAAATGTAGTCAGGAAAAAAACAGGCTGAAGAGAAACGTCATCAGCAAGAAAAAGAACCTGAAGAGAAACGTCTTCGGCCAGACAGAGTGCTGCTCATGAGTCTTTTATTAAAAATAGAGGCCTTAAAATTGAGTAAAGAAGATATGAAAAGAGAAATTAAATAGACAGAAGAAGATATGAAAAGAGAAATTGAAGAGATAAATTAAGACATGATTAAAGAAGTTAAAGTAATAAGAGGTCTAGTAGAGAAAAAACATGATGTTGGCGTGTTGGAGGTTGGCGTGGGGGTTGACTCTATATTTTCATCATTTAGGATTTTTAATATTTCTACTGGAATTTTATCAGGCTCTGGCGCTTTGCCACTTGTTGAGATTTTAATTGCCTGTTTTACCTCTGATATTAACATTTGTATATTTTCATTAGTTAGTAATGTTTCATTTATTTATTTCCTATTTTCTGTAATTAAGATAAATATTTCCTCTTTCTCCCAATTTGTTTTTTCTTAGTAGATGTTAAAGAGGTTGAAATAGGTATAAGTGGCTGCCGCCGTCCTGCCTCGAAATAAAATACCATCATTATGACTCACAATTCAATTCTTAATGCTGGAGTCGCTAGTCCAAAGAAGATTATAAGTACGATATGTCACTTTCTGGGTTATGTACCAAGAAACAACTTTCTGCAGATTAAATAAGTTATATGGGAAGTGATGGAACTTTTTTGGCGGAAAATTTTGATGTATTAAACAGTGTGAAAGCTCATTTTAAGTGTATGAGATTTTTAAAACAATATTTTAAATTAAAAGTGACGACAGAGAGATAAATGTTAGTTAACGATACAAGTTGGTTTAAGTATTTCTTTCTCTCTTTCTACCAGTATTGCCCCTAACCTAGAAGTATTTCATGATTTAGCTGCATCTATGCTTCTCTCATTGGTTTATTAAGTAAGGGTTATGGACCAATATTAACATTAAAAATTTCACTGTTTCCAATATATAAAAGTATCGTTATAATAAAAGTCTACCGACAAAAGTTAACGTTTATTTTCGTCATTCCTCATGGTACCCTTTTTTGAAAGATTTCTGTAAAAAGGATAACAAAAGTATAGTAGAAGTACGATTAAAATTAGTGTTTATAAATTAGGTTTATAGTTCTACTTTGCATAATATGTTTGTTTTCTTCCCTAGAAATTAATACTTTTATTTTTAAAGGTTGTAGGATACGCAGTTACCACTTGGCAAAAAGAAACTGATTTACCTGTCATTGGTTTTGATATGGGAGGTACTTCAACTGATGTTTCACGATTTGCAGGAATTTACGAACACGTATATGAAAGTACTACTGCGGGAGTAACAATACAGGCGCCTCAACTTGATGTAAACACTGTCGCCGCAGGAGGAGGATCGATGCTTTTCTTTAGGTAATAAAATATGTTTAAATTTAACGAATATCATACATACCTAAAAACATTGAAGATGGAACAACGCACAAACAGTTTAGGGATAGAGGCAGAGAGACATATATAGATAGAGAGAGAAAAATAGAAAGTGAAAGTCATTTTAGTAATTAAACACAACCCGCTTTATTTTGAAGTTTGGAGTCGTTAGTAAAAATATATTGATATGTAGGCCACTGATCTTGAAATATTTTATTAATAGTACTGACTGGCAGGTTTTTTTAAAGCTCAAAAGGCCTTGAATGCCTAAGGCTGAAAAGTTTATTTTTCTATTACAATTACTATTTACATTTATTCATCTAAAATACATTTAATATTTCTTATAGCCTTTACATACATTTCTTAACCACTCCTTTTTCTTCTTCTTTGCCAGCACTCTATTTTCCCAGTCACCTTCTCTTGTCATAAAACGCTTGTCATAAAAAAGCGTTTTATGACCAATTAGAACAAGTAGTAGATCAAGTCAGAGGGAATTACGAGAATGTTAAAAACGAAAATGGATATCTGATGATCAACTTCTGCACGAATAACAAACTAAGAATAAACAATACATTTTTTGACCACAAAGACCAACACAAATATACATTTAATAACACCCTTCGACAAAGATCTACGATAGATTATGTTATAACCAACAGAGGTATACATCCATCGAAAACCAAGAGAGCAGCGACAACACAAACAAAAATCAAAGTCAAAGGACTTAATACGGAATGCACGGAATACTCATCATCATCATCATCATCATTCCCCAACCTCTTGCATCCACTGTTGGATATAGGTCTCCTCCATGTTCTTCCACTGTTCTCTATCTTGCGCCTTCTGTATCCAATTTCCGACTGTTTTTCCCAAGTCGTCCATCCATATTTTTGGTGGTCTGCCTCGGTGTCTTTTGTCTTCTCTAGGTCTCCATTCTATGAGTCTTTTGGTCCACCTATTATCATTTAAACGTGCTATATGTCCAGCCCATCTCCATTTGGCTTGTGCAATTTTTTCTATGACATCTGTCACTTTAGTCCTCTCTCTCACTATCCTATTTGGTACCATATCTTTTCTAGTTATTCCCAACATTGCTCTTTCCATTTTTCTTTGGGTTACTTTAAATTAATTTGCAGAATGTTTGGTTAAAGTTATTGTTTCGGAACCATATGTTATTACTGGTAGTATGCATTGGTTGTAAACCTTTTTCTTCAAGCAAATCGGTAGCGTTCCTTTTAGAATATCTCGCCTCTTGCCAAATGCTGCCCATCCCAAGCCTATGCGACGCTGGATCTCACAAGTTTGATTGTCTTTTCCTATTCTAATTTCATGCCCTAAATAGATATAGCTAAAGACCTGATGTACTTCGTTCCCATCTACCCTCATAACATCACTTGGAACTAAATTGGTCATGTATTTTGTTTTTTCAAAGTTTATGTTCAGGCCTATTTGTTCTATTGCCTGTTTTAGTTCTTCCATCATTTTGTGAGCTTCATTTAAACTCTCGGCTATAATGACAATATCATCTGCAAAACGCAAGTGGCTTAAGTATTCACCATCAATATTTATTCCCCTTTTAGCACAATCTAGTTTTTTAAAGGCATATTCCAGAGCTGCAGTGAATAGTTGGGGGGAGATGGTGTCGCCCTGTCTAATTCTTCGCTCAATTCTATATTTATCGGTAAAGTCATGGAGTTTAACAGATGCTGTTGCGTTATTGTATATATGTTTTATCAAATTTGTATATCTATAGTCTACTCGGCTTTGTTCTAATGCTCCTAATACTGCCGGTAATTCCACGGTATCAAAAGCTTTCTTGAAGTCTATGAAAATCAACGTGAGTGGTTTATTATATTCAACACATTTTTCAATTAGTATTTTAAGTGCTTGTAGGTGGTCATTTGTTCCATAACCTTTCCTAAACCCAGCTTGCTCTTTAGACTGATAGAAATCTAATTTTCGTTCTAAACGTTTTGTGCTGATCTTGGTAAACCATTTGTAGAGATGTGACAACAGACTTGTCGGTCTATAATTCTCTAGGTCTGATATATCTCCTTTTTTGTGTATTAGGATAGTAATTGCATTGTTCCATTTTGTAGGGACAATACCTTGGTTTAGACATAGGTTGAATAGTTCAGTTACTACTTCCAGCAGTTTCTTGCCTCCTACTTTAACAGCTTCTGTTACTATTTGGTCATCTCCCGGAGCCTTGTTGTTTTTCATTTCCTTTAGAGTTCGTTTCACTTCTTCTATCGTTATGGTTGGCAGAAGTTCGGATCCTTGGTTCGTTACTCTGCGTTCTCTAATTTGTGTTTTGTCTTTCTGTTAACTGGCTTTTGTATAATTCTTCATAGAAGCTTTTTGCTATGTCTACTATTCTCTCTCTATTTGTTGTTATATTACCTTCCTTGTCCTTTAGTTTAACAATTTCCTTTTTACCATCACAAAGCGTTCTTCTGAGTATTTTCATATTTCCATTTTGCTCAATCACATTTTGTTTTTTCTCAGTATTATACTTCCTCTGATCTTTACGATACTATATAGCACGGAATACTATATCAGAGAAAATTGGTGGGAATGAAATATAAGAAAACGGTAATATTGAGGAAAGCTGGGAGACACTCAAAAATTACATAATTAATGAAGCAAGAGAATCACTTGGAGAGAAAAAAGTACCAAACACTAACATAACAAAAAAGATAGCATGGTTTAGAGAGGAAGTAAAGACAAAATGTAAAGAAAAGAAGATTCCAAATGAAACGAACACTTTAGTTAGATAAATAAAAAAGGAACACGGGCAGAGTTTCTCAAAACAGACCACGACAGAACACGACTTCTACGGAACACAAAAAGAAATATGGAGAATGATCAGAGGACAAAGAAAAGAGATGAACAAACTAATAAAAACAAAATACATTCAGAAGGAAACATGGGTAGACTACTTTCGATCCCTATTTGTTAGAGGTGACGATAATGAACTACCAATACCAGAGGTGACGACAAACGAAGAAATAAATATTGAGGAGGAAGAGGTAAGGGAAGCATTAAGAAAATAAAAAAAAAGTCACCAGAAGAGGACAGAATACCGAACGAACTCCCAAAGTACGGAGAAATAGATCTGACCAAACAACTATTAAGACTAATCCAAAAAATAATAGAACAAAACAGAATTCCTCAAGAATGGAGATCAAGCATTATAATACCTCCCTTCAAAAAGAGAGACAATTGGACCTGAAAAATTGAAGAGAGGTATTAATTTATTAAACACGACACTAAAATTAATAAAAGTGAGAACAAATATACTGAATGAAATTATAACACTAGCAGAAGGACAACAATATTGTAGGTCAGGAAAATCATGCAGGGACGCTATATTTATAATGAGGCAAATGCAAGAGAAATCAAAATGCATGGTTACAACAGCAAATATACTAACATGTAAATTGGAGCTGGAGGGTCAGATAATAGACAAGTGATGGAGTTTAAATATCTAGGCATCACATTGTCTAGCTACGGAAAGCGCGAAACTGAAGTGGAAGATCAAGTGAATAAAGCAAACACAGAATTTAAAAAACAGCCATCAGATCAATAATGCCATACGCGGCAGAAATAAGCGGCAATATTCTTTTCGGCCAACTGTGCTCTGGCATTCTTTGTACATGCCTATATCACTGCAGGCTATGGAACAAAATGAAAGTTTTTTGTAATTGAGAGTTCTACTTCCATTCTAATACATATTTCCTTTGTTCTTATTCTATACGCTCTGATGATTTTTGGACATCTCCTCATACAGTCCAGTTCAACTGTTCTCTTTTTATTTCGTATTGATATTGTTATTGGCCATATTTTCGCTTCAAATAGGGTAATATTCATTACTATATCTATATCGTTCCATGAAGTGCTTTCGTGACTTGGTTTACTTGTGATATTTTCATTTTATCTTTTATACAAGTACCATCTCGGTTTATCATTGATCCTAAATACTTTAAAAGTCTTAATAGTCTCTTCTTCTAAACTTAAGTTCAAATCTGTAACCTTGGATCCGATACATAAGTATTTGGTTTTACACATATTTATCTTATAGCTTATATTATTTTTTAATTTCCTTACCATATATTCCATTCTCTTGTACTGGTATGCCCATTGTTCCGCATTTTTTATACCATCTTGTCAACGCCTGATCTATATATACGTTAAAAAGTGTAGGTGTTAGAGTTTATTCCTGTTTGAGACCTTTTTTTGCGGTAATTGTTTTTTTTATTTCATTGTCTAAATTTATTTGCACCTCTATTTTTTTATATTGTCTTTGTGTTATATTCACCGATTTCTCTCTAAAAATCGTTTTTCTTATTGCTTCCCATAGTTGTTTCCACATGCTTTCTTCAAGTTGATAAAGGTCACGCATGTTTTTTCTCTTTGTTCTTTTCTGTTATCTGTCTTTATGATAAATATATTATCTACACAAGATCTGGTTTTTTAGATCCTGCTTGTTCTTCGCTATAACGGTCCATGTGTTGTTCCGTTTTTTTTATTACCGTGGAAAAGATTCGTACTATTGAAGGCATTAGACTGATCCCTCTATTGTTATTTGGTGATATTTTGTCACCTTTTTTGAAAATAAAAGACATGTATTACAGATTCCACTCCTCTGAAATATCCTCTCCTGCTTCGATTTTTTTGAATAATACTTGGATTGGGATAAAACTTTGGGACTAGAAGGGGACATGCCACTAAACAATATTTTATATAATTTTAAACTTATTTTCAAATCCTGAAATCCAATTTTTACATTTTTCTCGGAAGTGAGGTCCACATCGTTTGAAAATATATTATTAAATACACAATAAACGTAACACACATTTTTATTTAACGGTTTCTAAGTTTTTGAACATTTTCCGAAAAAATATGAGGCTTATCCCCTATTTTCATTTTTTTTTGTTTGGTGGAATAGGCCCACTGTATTTTAATTCCAAATCCCTGGAAAGTAAAATTGCCTTCCTCAAACCTTTCTTCCCAATATTAACTGCCTTATAGCCTTCATTTACAAGATGTTTGATATAGATTATGTTAGGTTGTTCAGATGAAAACTTAAGGCTTGATCTTTTGGAAAAGTTAACTTTGTCTTTGTCATATGTATGGCGTTTTTTCGTAATCTCGCTTTGTAATTATTAAAAAAAAATTGTTTAAATGAAATCACCTCAAAGCAGTTTTTCCTTTAACATTTTCTCACTGCTTTGTACCATTGTCTGGAGTATACAGTTGTTTTAATCGATGACGCTTATACTTTTCAATTGCTGCGAAATCACGGTCACATTGTAATCTTGTATGCCCTACTACCAAGTATTTGTGCTTAATAGAAGTGAAAATGCCTTCTATAGTAAGATGTTGCAATAAACAAATTAGAAACCAATATTTGTTTTGGCCACTGCAGTTATCAGTGTACACTATAAGCTTATTAGCAGTGGGTCTACTAGTTCGAAAATGTTTATATACAATGTTGGCAATTTTTTTGCTACCTCGATTGGCAATATTTTCTAGCCACATGTACATGTAGGCCACTATCCACTAATACAGTTATGGATGGCGAGGTTTTAAACTCATGCCTTGAATAGAACGCTGCTCTTACTATTAAATTTGGTAGTTGCATAGCCTGTTGTAAGATAAAGCTGATTACCATTGCATTTTCCGTCGCTTTAGCCTCCTCTGTTTCCTGTTTTCTTAGATTCTGCATGGCCTGGACACGTCTTTGATAAAACTCCAAATCAATTTTCAATGTCTTTGCAGTTTCTTTGTCAGCTTTAATATTAATTGTTATATTCATTGCATCACATACTTTACAGGTATCGCTCTTAGGTAATCTAAAGCCTATATTAAACTAGGAGCAGAATATGCGCCTATATTTATCTTGGGTTACTGTTACAAAATTATTTTGGCGGCACCATTAAAGATAATAATCATGGTTTAAACTGGAAATTGACAGATAGGAATCTAGGGAGACTCTTGTTGGGTTTTTGGCCTGCTGTAATGACTTGTGTATTTTGGTATTAAATTAATATGCTGTCTAAGATTCTCACAGTATTCTTCTGGAATTTTCTTTTTGTTGTTGTCATGCCTACCTCTTTCATCTGACTTTGTCGATGTAGAAGCACCCGCTTTATTTTGGTGAACCAGTCTTTTAATACGTTTTTTTTGTAATCCGTGTATGGTAAGAAACCTTTATTACAAATTTCAACTTCATCTCCATTTATTTTGATTCTATATTTAACTGAAACATTTCTGGATGAATAAACTCGTTTTGATTTCTTTGGGTAACTTCTCTTCCTTGTAATTACTTTCATACTTGAGAAAAGGTAAATATTTTGCTTGCCGTAATTACCCAGGTTCCAAAAGGCATTAAATATATCATTTTTTTTGCCCGCCAAAAGCTGTTTACATTGTTTTGTGTATCCGCAACGTGCGAACATCCAAACAACGAAAAAAATTTTAAATATCATATTGATAAATTTTTTCAAGAAAAATCATCAACAAATAATATTAACATCCTAAATGAAATAATAGTAGAAGCAATAACAGAAGCTCAAAAGAAATGCTGCCCAAAAAGCGTGAAGGAAGAAAAAATTAGTCTGGAAACAGAAAAAAAACGGAACAAAGAAGAATACTGAGAAGCGACGAAAACTCTAATAACGACGATATAAACCGAATAAACAAGGAAGTATCAAGAGAAATCAGAAAAGACCTAAGAAATTACAAATATGAGAAAATCCTCAAAACCATTGAGGAAAATAAGAGTATGAAAATAATGAGACGCAAACTCACAAATGGAAATAAAGAAATAGTTAAACTCAAGGATAGAAATGGCAACATCACATCAAACAGAGAACATTTGTTAAAAATTGTGGAATCATTCTATGAGACATTATATAGCAACCAATCGACTCTAGATATAGTTGAATATAAACAAAGGAAGGTTCAAAATCAGGGTTCCGAAGATATCCCAGAAATCTCCTTGGACGAAATTTGCAAGGCTCTAAAAAAGATGAAGAATAACAAAGCTCCGGGGGAGGACGGTGTCGTCACGGAAGCGATAAAGATAGGAGGCTCAGTACTGATAGCCAAAATTCAAAAGCTCTTTAATCTATGGCTATGGAATCAAAATATAATAACAAAGTGGAATAATTCAATAACTGTACTCTTACACAAGAAGGGAGATATAGCAGAAATGGAAAGATACAGACCAATCAGTCTCCTTAACCATCTTTATAAATTATACACCCGAATAATAACGAACAGATTAGAGACAAAGCTGGATTTTTACCAACCTCGGGAACAAGCTGTTTTTCGCCCTAATTACGGCACAAACGATCACCTGCAATGTCTAAAAACCCTAATAGAAAAAACTACCGTTCATCTTAAGAGCACTACAAGATTGCAGGGTCGACCACAGATATTGTAATATAGTCAAAAATATATATGAAAATGCCACAACAACCGTAAGTCTACATTCTGCAACTAATAAAATAAAGATAAAAAGGGGAGTCAGGCAAGGTGATGCCATGTCACCAAAGCTGTTCATTACCGTTCTTGAGTATACATTTAAAAAACTAACATGACAAGAGAAAGGAATATCCATCGATGGAGAAAGATTAAACCATCTACGTTTTGCGGACGATATCGTGCTTCTGTCAGATAATCTGGAAGAGATCAAAGACATGCTCCAAGAACTGAATGACATACTACAAGAAACTGGACTGGAGATAAATTTCGAGAAAACCAAAATGATGACTAATATGGTTCCCAGCCTAGAGATACAGATTAATAACAACAAGGTTGAATTAATCGATAAATACACATACTTGGGTCATGAAATTAATAACCAGAGACAACCAAACCAGCGAGCTAAATAGACGAATCACGTTGTGATGAGCGGCATATGGAAGGATGAGAGATATTTTTAAAACAAATATCCCAATTCACCTGAAAAGGAAGGCATTTAACCAATGCATCTTACCAGTCTTGACCTATGGAGCAGATACCCTAACTTTAAAACGAAAGCTACTGCCGAAAAACTGAGGGTAACACAAAGGCGAATAATGGAGAGATCAATGCTGGGCCTGACCTTGAAAGATCGTGTGAGAAATGAGGAAATACGCCGACGAACTGGCGTAGACGATATTATGCTGCGAATCAATAAACAAAAGTGGAGGTGGGCTGGACATGCTGCTAGAATGAAAGACGGAAGATGGACGAAAAGATTATTGGAGTGGAGACCAAGAGCCGACAAGCGAAGTCGAGGTAGACCACCCACCCGATGGACCGACGACCTACGGAGAATAGAAACAAACTGGATTGCAGCAGCTAAAGATAGAGAGAACTGGAGACGTTTGGAGGAGGCCTATATCCAACAATGGATGTGAAAATAAGGCTGGATGATGATGATGATGATCCGCAAGGTGCACCTAGTTTTTTTCAGTTCTATTTTCTTCCCTTTTTTATTTATACATTCACAACCTAGATTTCTTTTAATCTTGCGCTTAACTTTTTTATGTCGTTGGGCATTCTTGTGTCTCTATCTAGAAGGCGCCTTCTTTTTTGGAGTTGGCAAGACACCTCGAGAAGTATGTGGGGTATAAATCTCTTCACTTTAATAAAATAGGTATTTTACTAAAAGTGATAAGCTACAAAAAACTTTTAGCAGAATTCTAATATTTTTAGGTTCGAAAAATATAACATAAGGGGACAAGCCACACATTTAATAAACTTACCGTTTCTATGTTTATATTTGCCGAATCGCTACTACTTCTGGACAGTGTGTAGTAGTTGTTATCTTCGTTTTCATTTAAAAACGGATCTTGGTCACTGTAGTCAGAATCAAACACAGAAAAGTCTATTTTTCGTTTACATGCACGAGACTGTTTCGCCGCCATTTTGATTACTACTGTGGCTTATCTCCTTCTGTTGCAACATAACGTAATGGTGACACAACGGGACTTACTACAGCGGCGCCATATATGAGAAAGCAGCTGAAATTTTTTGTTTGGGACATTAATATGATTAGTGTGCGATTTCTACTTTAACTTATTTTTGACGAAATTGTGGCATATCCCCTTCTGGTCCCAAGGTCTTCCAATAAATAGTGCACAGTGTGTGATAATCATCTATAGTAGTGTTAAGACTATAAAAATTTTATATATAATAATTCGATATAAAGAACAGATCTTAATAGATTTCTGTCAAATTTTAGATCATAACGAGATACCATCAATCTCGACTTAAGTACATATAACCATTATTTTAGATCAGGTATGTTCGTCGTGGGTCCAGAATCAGCAGGTGCTCATCCAGGACCAGTATGCTATAAAAAAGGTGGACCTTTAACTGTAACGGATGCAAATCTTGCCTTAGGAAGGTTGTTACCAGAATATTTTCCTAATATTTTTGGACCTACTGAAGACTCCCCTCTAGATAAAGAACAAACTGTTACAGAATTTTTAAAGTTAGCAAACGATATTAATGAGTTTCTTCAAAAAGATAATAAGAAGAAGGTAAGTAAGCTCCTTTTTACTGTATGTGTTATCCGTTGGATCTTTGCACATTTTCATCACAATATGGTCTATATGATCAATTAAATCAAAACATGTGGGCCACAATTGTGTCGGTTATAAGAATTAGAAAATGGTTAATATTACAATGAACGATTTTATACTTTTTTATAATTTTATATTAAAACTAAATGTATATTTATAAACGCGATTTTCAAATTTTTGAAAATCTATAGGTTGTCCAATAACATTTACAGCAAATAAATATTTAATTCGTAGTAATCGGAAATCGAAGTGTTTTTGTTGCATATAAGCAAATATATGGGTTATGGTCTAAGAAACTGAATAAAAATCTACCTTAGAGCTTCATCATCTTGGTAATTTTGTTCATTAAGTGTTAAATATGGTTTTCAGAGTTAATTAATGACTTTTTTTTTACTACTTTTGAGGAGATGGATTCAAGATCGAAGAACTTTAAGCCTCATAACAGATATTATTCATACAAATGACTAAAACTGTAACAATCCTATCAAGACTAGAAAGAACACTTTTGAGCTGGCTAAAAAATAAATTTATTTTAAATAAATACCTATATTTACATAAATTTAAGATTTCTTCACTATCAGAATCTAAGCTACTTATAAGATCAGTGTATTAACATTAGTTAAATGTTAATTTCTATCCAATTTTTTTCTCGGATACACCACTCATTAATAATTTCATAAGTATGTCTCACAAATTTTTCCCAAATTTCTCGGTTACATTGTTTTAATGATTCTTTCCACATATTTATAAAAGTACTATCCGAATGTTTATCTTTACCTATATCATCATCATCATCAATTATTAGCCTATCCAGTAGTAGTCCACTGCTGAACGTAGGCCTCCCGTAAAACTTTTCACCTATTTCTATTTTGAGCTTCTTGAATCCAGTTTGTGGTGATGCGCTTGATATTATCCTTCCATCTAGTCGATGGTCGTCCTCTGCTTCGATATGCATCTTGCCTTGGTCGACATTCCAGAATCTTTCTGGCCCATCTACCATCCGTTAATCTGGCAATATGTCCGGCCCAAGCCCATTTAGCCATGGCTATTTTTTTAACTGCATCTGTGACTCCTGTTCTTCTTCTTATTTCTAGATTTGGTACTTTATCTCTGATGGTAATACCTAATATTGATCTTTCCATAGCGCGTTGTGTAACTCTTATTTTATCTATTGTTCTTTTTGTCAGAGTTAATGTTTCTGCACCATATGTAAGAACCGGTAAAACGCTCTGGTTAAAAAGCTTTCTTTTAAAACAAACTGGGATACTAGACTTGAAAATGTTCAATCTAGCAAAGGCAGCCCATCTGAGACCTATCCATCTTTGTATTTTAGTTGTCTGATTACTGAGGCCTAAGCGAGTCTCATGCCTTAGATATTTGAAAGCTATTACTTGGTCGATGCTATGGATCTTAACAACATTTTACCGCTGACTAGAAGGTTGGCACCAATTGTTTTTGACACTTTATAGAGCATGTGCAGCATTTTTGTAGCTTTATCAACTCTACCAGATATTAAAATGAAGTCATCGTCAAATCTTAGGTGGTTCAGATCTTCCCCATTTATATTAATTCCCATATTATCCTCTAATCTACTTATACTTATATACTTATTGTAATATGACTTGCAGTGTGCTTAAATTAATCCAATAGCAAAACAAAATGACGGTATTAGATTTTGATTTGATACAGAGCAGCAACAAGCCGCATATACGTATTTCGATCTCTTTAGATCTCCTCAGTAAGGTATAGCTACTACACCATATCAAACCAAAATATTTTCCTGTCGTAGATTATAGTTATTAAAAATAACTATTTACGGACGTAACTACGCCATCTAAGAACAAAAAGAGAAATCATACGATTTCTAACCTGGCATAATCGAATTCAAATATAAGCCGCCGTGCTCCCTAAAACTTGCGAAGCAAACAGCTTGAATAATGAATTGGCAAGGGAGTCTAAAAATTGCACTCCAAATGCCGTTCATTACGTCCGTAAATAGTTATTTTTAATAACTATAATCTACGACGGGAAAATATTTTGGTTTGATATGGAGTAGTAGCTATACCGTACTGAGGAGATCTAAAGAGATCGAAATACGTATATGCGGCTTATTGCTGCTCTGTATCAAATCAAAACCTAATACCGTCATTTTGTTTTGTTTATTTACTTCATTTGGAGTACCAGAAATCGAATTCACTACGAATATAGGCCATGAGGAACGGCATTTGGAGTGCAATTTTTAGACTCCCTTGCCGATTCATTCATCAAGCTGTTTGCTTCGTAAGTTTTAGGGAGCACAGCGGCTTATATTTGAATTCAATTTCGCCAGGTAGAAATCGTATGATTTCTCTTTTTAATCAAATAGCATTGAATTCGCAGTGACAGGGATTCTCCACACATCATGACCGTGTTCTCTTAGTAGCTCATCAATTATATATACACATTCCCTTTTTTGTCCATTTTTGCAATTTATAATAACTTAGGTTTTGTTAGGTTTGCAACATACTTGATCTTATTTGTTGTCAATCAGGTAATAATTTTCATTCTAGTTCAAATAATGGAAGCTCGCTTTTTTAAAAGAACACTGTGATATGATGCATTATAAATCACAATTATTCATGGCTCTTCTAAATTGGAAATTAATTGTTCACTTAACCAGTTAGTAAAAATGTCATTGTTTATTTCTACATGATAATTATTTACTTTAGATTTTGAACAAAATAATAAACTGGCTTCAGTAACAAATTCTTTCGAAGGACCAGCTGAACAATTATAAAATACTTGAACTTTGAAAATAAGGCTATTATCGAGCACAAGTTAATTAAATCAAGCCCAAGTACTTTCGCTTAAAAAAGCATCTTCAGGGGCATTTCGTCAAAATAAGAACTATCCGGCAAGCGTAGGATGTGGAAACATTAAAACTAACATAAATTATACAAAACACTACACTAAAACGAGGACAAACAGTTTAAAATTAGACAAAATTACTTCTACGCTACATTCTCTGTCAGTTTCTGGAGGGATGATCTTTTAATTATAAAATATTTACCAGCATACCCTTCTGACTTACGTATACTTTTAACACTTTTGCCTTGCCAGGAAACTGTTTTTTTTTCCAAAAATTGATTTGGTATTTATTTAAAGATATTTCTACTACCCAGTTTGTTTTATTTCCCTTCGAATAAATCCACGCTTCGTCCAAAAAACAAGCTCTCTGGAATGAATACTATTAAGATTTTTCATGTACTTGCGAAGGAACCTGGCTCTTAAAGCAATAATACTGGTGCGCTCAATTAATGCTCTTTTATTATTGTCTTTTTCGTATTTAAATCCCAATTATTTAAACAAAATGCTAACAGATGTATAAAACCAGATAAGTACAAAATAAATTGCATTTTCTAACTAGTTCAATGTAAAAAAAATAAATAGTTTGTTTTTATAAAACTAAAAAGTTTCAAGTTAAAAATCAAGAAAATTGACTTAATAGCAATAATTGTATTTAGCGTAAAGTTCCTCAAACGACTTTTATCAATTTTTTTTGACCATATATTTATGTATTATGTATTTAAGTAGTGATTAAAAATCTTCTATTTTATGAAAATTCAGATTCAGATTTTAAGACTTACTTTATTGGTGCATATCGTATTCTGTATTTCGCACTGCCATTTTTGATCTCTCAAATAGCTTATTATCAAAGGTCTATAAATATCGTTTTAATATTTTTAATCTAGCAGCTATTCTCTTAAATAAAGAATTTTTCAAAGATATGTGTTCTGATAAATAAACGTAAATTTCAATATGTTACCTGTTCAACAGATGAAAATATCTCTAAAGTTCCTCCATTCATTTTCTAATTCGAAATACTCATTTAACTCATTCAAATTCATTTAACATAGGTTAGGTTAGGTTAGATGTGCTTGAGAATTTAATCGTTTACCAGGCATACTCTTAAAATAAACGCCAAAAAAAATTTATACCACTTCGTCGATGTAGCTAAAGCCATATTTAATTAACTAAATGTCAATTTAGATGTTAAAATAAGTATTATATTATTCGTCATTAGCTAATAAATAAATTCTTCTTCTTCTTGATGTGCCTATCCGTTACGAATGTTGGCGATCATCATGGCAATCTTTAACCAAGATGTTCTTTTTTTCCTGGACCTCGCTTTCCAAATATTTTTCCTTGCAGGATGGCTTGAAGAAGAGCATATCTGGATTCATTTCGCATAATATGTCCCAAGAATTGTAACTTTCGAGATTTAATGGTGGTCAGTACCACCGGTTGTTATTCATTCTTCTAAGGACCTCCTCATTTGTGACTCGGTCAGTCCACCGGATCTTAAGTATTCTCCGATATAGCCACATCGCAAATGCTTCCAGTTTTTTGCACATATCGTCGTTAAAGGTCCACGATTCGACACTATATAAACGTACAGAGAAGACGTAGCATCGCAGCTTTCTTACTTTTGTATGAAGAGAGAGCTTGTGACTCTTGAAGAAAACCCCCATCCGATTGAAGGTGGATCTAGCTTTTGCGATGCGTGCTCTAATCTCCTGGTTGTTGATCCATTCTTCATTTGTTATGGTACCGAGGTAGTTGTAGTACGTCACTCTTTCTACAGGAGATTGGTTGACGGAGAGTTGACCTTCTGTTATCCTTTTCTTGCTAATTATCATAAGCTTTGTCTTTTTAACGAGTATAAACCCTACCGTATTCTAACCCTAATAAATTAAACACGAAGATAACGGTTAGTCGAAATAAAAACTGTTTGATAAAAAATATGTATATTTAAAGTACGACAAAGGATTCAATAATTAAACGACACAAAAATAATTTATGAACACACTACAAACGCTGCCAAAACAAAACTTACAATTACCAGTAGGTTATTTAATTACTGACCATCATCCTATTTCTTTCGATTGACTTTCTTTGTTCGATGTATACTGTTGTGTATAGACAGGCGGGTGAAGTTCATCATTATAGTCCATCATTATGTGAGTGGGAAAGAGACGTAATGTAAAAAATAATTCCTAAATAGTTGTGCAAATATTCATCGGTTGGACTGTAGTGTTGTTTTTCTCTCTTTTATTGAAAAAGGTAACATTATACTATATTTCGTACCAACAGTATCAACACTGTCAAAATTTTTCTACTGTTTACATTTTTTAACAGTATAAATCTTAATTAGTTCGATATATTTGGTAGAAAACTACATTTATCTCTTAAAATTGATCTACTTAGCAGGTTTTTATCATAATTTATATTGATATAGCAATAGCAAAGGATATGGGCAGTGGATGTTGATGTGAACAGTAAATGTAGAAAATCGAAGGATAAAGTCCAAAAATAAATGAATAAAATAAGGCATGCTAGATAGAAAGCAAGTATTTTTAGCTAAGTTATATGAAACCTACTCTTGGAAGGACTGACAAATCCGTGTACTATAATTTTATGTCTCGATGATATTGATTATATTTCCAAGAGAACAAAAGAAGTTTAAATATTATTAACAAAGGACTAACATGTATATTACTTAGAAACTGTTTTCTTGATTTCAATAACCAGATATCCATCAACATGCTTATTTAAATTTTTTTTTGGAACATATATCTGATTTTGATTATTTTTCTAGGACAGCATGTCTATTGAAGAAGTGGCAATGGGATTTGTCAGAGTAGCTAATGAAGCTATGTGTAGACCTATTAGAGCTTTAACTCAAGCTAAAGGTTATGATACTGCACGTCATGCTTTAGCTTGCTTTGGAGGAGCTGGTGGTCAACACGCTTGTGCTATTGCGAGATCTCTCGGAATGTCAACCGTTTTTGTACACAAATATGCAGGTATATATTTTGGTGATAATATATCCACCTCTTCTTTTTTTTAGGTAAATATCGGATTTATTTATTAAAATACATATTTCTCTAAAGCACATACAAACTAAATCTCATTTTATTGAAGTAAAGCGAGCACTTGTACGGACCGGACCGCAACGAAACGCATTATTACGATCGGCAATTTAATATTTTCGTGTATTCAAATGAGTAAGCTCGCACTTTACGGTAACGAAACAAACCGGCTCATATAGAAACGCACCGAAAACTCGGAAGAGAATCGATTCAAGCGCCATCTCCGCGGCGGAGGTCGGCAATCATCATAGCTATTCGGACTTTTGAGACGCCTGCTCTAAAAAGTTCATTTGATGTAAATCCGTAACTATCTCTCAGGATGCGTAGCCATGACATTTTACGCTTCCCTATGCTTCTCTTTCCTTGGATCTTTCCAAGCAGAATCAGTTAAAACAAGCTGTATTTCTCTCCACGTGTAATATGTCATTATTATTGTACTGAAGCTATTTTTTTGTATTATCTTAATACAATTTACTATTTTTACTAGGAATAATCGACAATTTTACCTTAATTTTATAAAAAAAAAAATTAAATTAAATTTTTCTCGAGCTCTTAGTTTTAAAAAGCGTTGTGTTGAAAGTTTTTAGTTCATAAAAGTAAAAATAAAATAAAAGTCTTTAGTAAAAAAATATGATTGGTACAAAAATATTGAAATTGAAAGTCCATATTGTCAGTAATCGCCTTTAGATGTTTTTGAAAATTTTCCAAAAATTTGATAAAATTAGAAGCGGCCATCCATCCACTTTCTTAAACTATGCCGGTAGTCTCTGGTGGGCAAAATCACGGGATTTTGCCAAAGTTTTCGACGGAAAACCATAAAAGGCGGTATATGGTTTTCAATTGCATTGATTTCACAATAAACATTTACTGTTGCTCCACGTTCCCCTGACGTAATTTTATCAACCTGTTTTTCACCTTTGAATGCAATAATCTTTTTTGCCTTAGGACAGTTGAAAGTGTAATTTTCTGGCAACATCTAAAATATTTACATATTTTCTTATGCATTTGTAAATATTTATGCCTTCTTGTAATCAGTAGAGAGGGTTATTTTAACATTTTCGGATCGTTGTCGGTAAATGTATCTTGTTAATGTCATAACATTTATTTGATAACGACTTGTCGTTTCCTTGAGAAACGTAGCGTTATTAATAACGTCTAAAACAGCTTCTTTCAACCTCTGGTTGTCGACTGGTGATATTTTATTGGCTAGTTTACTCTTTTTGTATTGACGTGACAAATTTATAAAATGAAAAAACACTTATCTATAAGGAGTTTCTGGAAGACTTCATCCTGGGATCATATCTCGCAGATAAGACGGACTCAAGTCTCCCCAAGAGGCCAATTTAATATTTTAGTCTATAAAATATGACAACAAACTAGAAATGGCAAACTGTGCAAAAACTAACAGAATGATTATGGTGTGAAATTAGAATTTTACTAAACACTCACCTAAACAAATAGTAAAGAAAATCAACTTGAAATAATTCTGAAAACATTTTTCGGTAGGGACAAAACAATTGTAATGAACACGTGCTCTTTGTTATGTATTCCAACAAAAAATAAATTGCATGGGATAGATGGGAGTATTGGAGTACTGGAATCGAAGAGTATCCGATTCCCTATAAACTCAATAGGACTCGAGTACTCGAACTGGAAACCGATTGAGTACTGAGTACTGAATACCTGCCGAATATAGAAATTGATAGAACGGTCTGAGTTACAGTCACTAATATATGGTTACAGACTATTATACAATTGAGTGTTGAGTGAGTTGAGTATTAGTAATTATTTTAAAAAGGATCTACAGACCGAGTGTGTCTTATAAAATCCACGGCTTCGCGCAATCGTACTTGCGACGCTGTGTCGGATGTTTAGTTGTTGATTCTGTTTAAATATTTGCGTATAACTAATATTCTGTGGTGTGAATACTTTTAAGTGTGGTTTTTGACCATTGTGAAGTATTATAAATTTAGTTTTGTGTTTATAATTTGAACTCTTGTGTTTTTTTGTGTAAATAAAAAATGAATCGAATGAATAAATAAAGGGTATTTTAAATAAATTTGTAATATTTTATGCGAAAAGAAGAAAAGACTCAGATCCGAGACGTGAGCATATTCCTTATATTTTCTTTATTGGATTTGAATCGTTGTTATAATTATTAAAAAAAAAAAAATAATAATAATTTACAATATTTTTATTAAATCAAATGAGTAATATTATAGCAAATCGAGAACTAATGAAAAAAAAACAAATTTTCATTTCCTAGCAAATTGTTTCTAAACACTTAAGATGTAAACTTTCAAATAAAATTTGGATAATATTGTAATGCATTTTATACACTGAAATTAAATTAAAAAAGAACATAAAAAAGAGGAAAAGTAATAAAAAATTCCCTATATCTCGAGAACGAAATATGATCTGGAACAAGAGTACCTGAAATGTTTAATTTTTTTGAGCTCTTTGATTGTGTAGGTAGTACTTTCAATTTAAATTTTTTTCAACAATACTCGAGTATTCCGATTTAGTACTCTCAACCTTATAAAAATTTCCAAGAAATGAATATCGGATGGAGTTTTAAAAAGCGAAATGAAAATCCTAATATTAAGCAGCATTGTAACAAGGTACAATATCTGACTGTTATGCAAATTAGTAATTAGAAAGTCATTATGGGCAAAACGAACATTCAAATTATAGGTACCTACCTATAGTTTTTTATTTAAGGATTTTAATTTATTACCCTTAGCATACGTAAAGATTTTGAAGAAATTAATATCAGGTCCAGTTTTCAATGAAATAGAATTCTTTAAGAAAATTGTGACTATGTAAAATACCTGCCTAATATGCTAATTAGTAATAAGAAAGTCAAATCGGCGGTTTTTTTGTCACAATCAGCACACTTGTTAATTGTGTTATTTCTAATTTTATTGATAGGACATATTCTACATCGTTTCCTGTCACGTACTGGTTATATTTTAATATTCTTAATAATCTGACAACATTCCATCTTCTCTTGGTGGTATGTTCAGTCACAGAATTGGACAAATTTAGAAGATCCTTTTTCCCTCCTCGTAGATTCGCCACTGACTACCCAACGCTTAGCTACTTTTCATAAAATTTGTATTATCTTATCAAAAAACCAAGCACTTGCAAGAAAATTGCACTTTTAATTAAAAAAACGAGTTATTTATCTCGTACTTTGTTTAAGCAAGGTGCATTATTAATTACTTAATATTTTTATTAATATTAAAAAAAATATTAAAAGCTTTAATAAAATTAGCAAGATTAAAAAATGTAATATATATTATATATTATAATATTAATATGAATGAGTAGAAACGATTACATTTAAATTTAGCAAATTATAACTTCAGTCGACCAGCGTTCGAATTCACAAAATACGATTGCGCGAAGCCGTAAATTTTATACGACACGCTCGGTCTGTAGATCGTTGTACAGTACTCGGTACTCAGTAATCAATAAAGTATTCGATTCCTTACTGTACTCGATTCCCCTAAGTAATCGATTCTGACCATCACTAAATGCCATTCCAAAGCAAGGTTAGTAGATATTTAAGTAGGTTGTCTCGTAACTATAGACCAATCAAATGCTCGCTTTTCAAAGGCGGGAATACGTCACCCATGCGACACTTTTAAAATTGCCACAAGCTTCAATGCTAATAAAAGTTTCAAAAACTTAGATTTTGCAATATATTTTGGGATTTTCTTGGGTATAGGGATGTTAAGTGGTCTTTATATTAATAATTATATCAATTTTTTTTTAAATAATAGTCTGATGACAAAAAATAGAATTGATTATATTGATAATATTGTTTGTTTTTAATGGAGATAACAGTTTATTTCGCACAAAAACCCAAAAAAAAACAGTAAAAAAAATTCAAAAGCAAAAATACTAAATATGTAGGAACTTACTTATTATGTTTTTCCTGGAATTTGCAGCATTCTTATCATATCCAGTATTAGGCAAAAAAAACAAATAGGTAATATAAATAATTTATTATTAGATTAAAATACAAAAAAATGATTAGTCCTTCAAGCACAAATCTTCAGGCTATAGGTTTGTTAGTTCATGACCGTGAATTTTTAAATAATAGAAACTATTTTTAATTCCTGGGTTTATCGGTCTGATAAATAAAACACAGCTACGACAACACACTTCACAAATGTTTATGTACACAAATAAGTAAATAATAAGTCTCTATAAATAATATTGTCCTTAGACCTTTACCTAAAAATAAAAACTAAACAATAACTAAACAAATAAACGAACTAATGATACTATAGGAAAATTCCACAAAAAAAATATACGAATACAAACGTGAACTTAAACTCAGACGTGCAGACAACTATCCATCAACTGTCAAATTTGACGTTGTCGTATGAGTGACGTAAGCATTCTGCCTTCCCCTCGCTTCGCCCACATGGTTACGAGACAACCTACTTAAATATCTACTAACCTTGATTCCAAAGGCCATACTAACAGCTACGATATGTTGCCGGTTTTATATATTTAAGCTGTTTATTTACTGAAATTTTATAGAGTGATCAAGTCTCCCATATGATCGAGTCTTCCTCTTCATCCCTACGCATTTATGTTTTTTACTTGTTTGTACACATGTTTCAATGATTTACAAAATCTCCATATCTTATGACTAAATATAGTTAAGAAAATAAAATATATCCTGAATTTCTGGAAATTCTATTAATTTAAGGTATATCTAAAATAATTGTTATGTTTTTTTTTGTGTGTGTTTTGGCTTGGACAATTGTCATTCAGCCAGTCTCAATCAAGATAAGTTTATTAATGTAATTGTATCCGAACGTCTGCGGTCCCTCCGGTGAGTACCGATCGCACAAGGATAGAAATTATTTTCATTCATTAACTGTTATGTTAATAATACGACTTATTTAAACTTATTTTCTTAAAAACTTAAAAAATTTAAACTTAACCTATTTTTACAGGTATTCTTTCTGCATACGGCATAGCTTTAGCCGATGTAGTTCATGAAGCTCAAGAACCAAGTGCGAAGGCTTATGTTTCAGAAAATTTTGCATATTTTGATGAACGACTCACTGCTTTAGGTGTGCAGTGTAAATCGGAATTAATTAAACAAGGGTTCGATGATACACATATAATATTGGAACCTTACCTTCATATGCGATACGAGGGTACAGATTGTGCTTTGATGTGTGCTCCTATTAACTCTGAAAACAATAGCACTCAGCACGGAGACTTTTTAAAAAGTTTTACAGATAGATATAATCTTGAATTTGGTTTTGTAATTCAAGATAGAGAGGTTATTATAGATGATATTAGGGTGAGTACATTAATTTTTAACAAAGGGGTATTTTTATTAGTTGGTATATTTTTTTAATAATCAGAGAATTCGACCGATTTTATTAAAGTTTAGTTTATTGTTAAATCACACACAGACACACACAAAATTAGCAATCTTAACTTTGTAAAGAAATGTGGACACGCAATCCTTTGAAAATTTGTTATAAATCCTTACATTTAGGAGTAGAAGAGACTTTTCCCAACAGATCGCGACCCAATATTACGAGACCTTTGGTAGATCCTTATTTAGCAATTTCATAATATATTGCTTTTTTCCAATGAATATATTCTCCTTTTGCCACATGCGGACCTTCCACTTTGCAAAACTGTGCTGCAGGTCATATTGCGACAGGCTGTTACTTAGTTGTGCCGATTTTTTGTCTACATCGTCTATCCCGTAGCGGATTAGTTTTAGAGCTAACGCGCAATACTGCGACTTCGGCCGCAGCATTACGTCTGGTCTGATACAGCCAATTCTACATAGGTTGTAATGACAGCCGGAATGCGACCAGTCAGTGATCTGTACATGTATTGTATAGTTTGTGTTGTACAGGACTATTTAAAAATTGGATATATCCAATTTTTTTTTCTTCCGATTTATTGTACGAGTAGACATATACACAGCAATGGCTATCTGCGTGACATTGAAAAGAAAAATTAATGACAGCCTGGCCGGAGGTGCGGCCAACGTAAAAATAGCATGTTGCTGGCCGCACGACATTGTAGGTCGGCCTGGATGCGACCAAGGTCCGACCAGTGGTCGTGGCTGGAACCGCTGTAGCGCGCGTTAGCTCTTAAGCACAATTTGATTTCTGGGAATAGATAAAAGTTGCAGGGTGTCAAATCAGCCAAATAGGACGGGTGCTCCATAACTATAACCTGGTTTGTGGCGTTTTCACAGAGCGAGCATTGTGAGCTGGCGCTTTGTCGCGATAGAGAATCCAGAATTTCTCTTTCCACATTTTGGGCCTTTTCTGCGAATTTTCACTACACGAATTCTTCCGCTTTATTTTCCACAATTGTTGATCTTCTTGAAAGTAAAATAAATCAGTCAACATAAATCAAGACTACTTTGAGGTTAATAATAAAATATATACAAATAAAAGTGCAGAACTTATCATGGGTAATGCTCTAAGCCCATTACTATCGGATGTTTCTATGGATCATCTAGAAAAAAAAATATTTCAAAACATGCCGTATTCAAACAGTTTTTATATTGGTGGAGATACGTGGATGATATACTGGTATGCTTTACAGGAACTAATAGACAACTTGACCAATTTTTATCTTATATTAATTAACTTTATAGTCATATTTAATTAACAATAGAAATAGAACAGAGTCAATCCAAAAATTTTCTAGATTTAAACCTAACCAGACTTGAAAACAAACATAAGTTTTCCGTATTCCATAAACCTACCCATACTGACACGACTATACACAATTCATCTTTCCATCCTATACAACATAAATTGGCAGCCTATCATAGCATGTTCCAAAGATTAATAAAAATTTCCACATTTCAAAACAACTTTAAGATGCAATTGAATATCATTAGACAAATAACAGTAAACATTGGCTACAACGAACAGACAATAAACAAAATTTTAAACCAAAACTGTAACTCTTTAATATTGAAATATTTTTAGGTGAGAGGTATTGGTAGAAGTGATTTAGATGAAGAGACACTAATTGAAGCATTGACCGATGTCCCCAAACCTAAATCAGTCACAAAAGTTTACTTTGAAGATGGTTTTCACGATACTAATGTTTTTCTCCTTAAAGACTTAAAAGCTCAACAAACTTTACAAGGTCCTGCTATAATTATGGATCAGTTAAGCACAATTCTGTTAGAACCAGACTGCAGTGCTGTTATAACAAAATATGGCGACATCAAAATTACTATTGGTTCTGGAATTGTAAAATCTATAGGTCCAGAATTGGACTCAATACAATTGAGTATTTTTAGCCATAGGTTTATGAGCATAGCGGAGCAAATGGGAAGGTTAGTCAACTTAATCCAGCCAAGGATATATATAATACTTAAAATAATATTTTTGTTAAAATTTGTTATTATAAAACGTGAATATTTGTTATCATTAAATCATCATTATAGTAAAGTCTCCACCTTTCTATATTTCGCCATCCAATTGGGTTGGTGTATTCTGTGGTCCTATGCTGCCCCTATTTTCTAGCATCTTCGTCTACACCATTCTTTCTTTTAGGTTTTGGCCTCTCTTTTAGTGGGTTTACTCTTAAATTCGGTTGTTGACAATATATATATATATATATATATAATATATATATATATATATATATATATATATATATATATATATATGGACGGCATTATGCCTCACTAGACCAAGCTCCATTTTCCCAAATTGTGGATTATGGTGCTTTTTGGTGGAAAATAGCATAAATATCTACAGAATATATCCCATTAGTCTGTTAGTCATGGTTAACCAGATATATTTAAAAAGACCAAGTGCCTTTCTTCTTATTCAGGATTTTGAATTTTGCATAACTAGACCAAGCGACTAATTTTGTGTATTAGTTCTGCATCAGTAAACCAAGTACCTATTGCGAGGGTTTTAATGATTGTAAATCGAATATTTGGCAACATTCGTACATAAACGTTGTTGACAATAACTTGTTGAGGCGTTTAGGTTACAGTACCAGTCACATTAACTACACAATCTTATAAAGGAAATGAATCGGCTGAAAATAAATATAATGGGAGTCAGTGAAGTCCGATGGTCTGGATCTGGACAGTTTACGAAAGATAAGATTACTATGTATTACTCGTTTAGTGACCCAACAGATAGACATCACCGACATGGAGTTGCTATTGCTCTTGACAGGAAGACCAGTAAATCGGTGACAGATTTTGTACCAATTTCCGAACGAGTCATGTTGCTCAAAATGACAGGCAAACCAGTAAACATAAATGTGACACAAGCATATGCACCAACAGCAGATAAGTCAGAAGAAGAAATAACTAAGTTCTATAAAGATCTGGAAAAAGCAATAAGACTAACAAAGAAAGAGGACATAAACATAATAATGGGCGAATTTAACGCCAGGGTGGGTAAAGCACGATATGAAGACATAATTGGAGAGTACGGCCTTGGAGTTAGAAATGAAAGAGACAACCTGCTGTGTGAATTCTGCCAGGAGAACGGTTTCGTCGTCATGAACACATGGTTTTAGCTCCCAACTCGTAAGTTATATACTTGGAGATCACCAGGAGACCGTCCAAATCGAATAATTAGAAACCAAATTGACTACGTTTTAATAAACAGAAGATTTCGTAATGCCAGCAAAAGAATCGCAGCATATCCAGGTGCTGATATTATCTGCATCCGATCATAATCCGCTAATAGCAGATGTGAGGTTAAAACTAGCAAAAATTAAGAGAACAAATACAAATACCAGCACACCTATAAATACAAGAGAACTGATGAGAGATGAAAATCTGAAGAAGAGTTATGCGAATTAAATTAATGAAAGAATGCGAGTAATAGAACAAAATGATGATATCGAAGAGATGGTCAATGATATTAAAGGAACGATTCTGGCAGTAAACAGGGAAGTTAAACACAGATCAGAAAGAGAAAGCATAACGAATGGATGACGGACGAAATTATGGATCTAATGGAAAAGCGAAGGCAACATAAACAACAACGTAATCAAGACAAATACAAACAGATACACAAAGAAATCCGTCAGAAAATTAAGAAAGCAAAAGAACGTTGGATGGTGGAAAGGTGCAACGAAATAGAACAATTGCAGGAAAAAGGAGATAGTTTTGGACTACATAAGAAGATCAAAGAAATATCGAATATACACAAAAGCCACCACAGAACAAGAATACGCAACGACAGAAACGAATACATAGAGTCAGAAGAGGAGATAGCAATGGCGTGGAAAGAATACGCAGAAAGCCTTTTTAATGACGAAAGACCAACACAACCAACGCGCAAACTTCCTTCCGAAAACTTATCAGGGCCATCAATAATGCGAAGTGAAATAGAATATGCAGTTAGAACCACAAAGATGCATAAAGCAACAGGTCCAAATGAAATTAATATAGAAGCAATAAAACTACTAGACGAGGAAAATATCGAAATCTTGGTAAGGCTGTTCAGTAGAATTTATGATACTGGTTACATTCCGCGAGAATGTCTGCAGTCATCCTTTGTGATGATCCCAAAAACAGCTAATGCCACAAAATGCAATGAACACCGCTTAATCAGTTTAATGAGTCACTTGTTGAAACTCTTCCTTAAGATATTACACTCAAGAATGTACAAGATACTAGAAGAACTTAGCGGGTCAACACAATTCGGTTTTAAGGGAGGACTAGGAATAAGAGAGGCAATTTTATGTTTGAACACCTTAATACAAAACTGCTTAGATCAACGAAAAGATGTCTACCTCACCTTCATCGACTACGAGAAGGCATTTGACAATGTTAAACATGATATCATGATGGAACTACTACATAGGGCCAACATTGACTAGAAGGAGATCAGAATTATTCAGAATCTATACTGGAACCAAATGGCAAAGGTGAGGATTGATTAAGACCAATATACGGATGAATTTGAAATCCGGAAAGGTGTCCGCCAAGGCTGCATACTCTCTCCGATGCTTTTTAATTTATATGTTGAAAATATATTTGCGGAAGCATTAGAAGATACGGAATTAGGCATTAAGGTGAACGGCATACCAATTAGCAACCTACGCTATGCGGACGACACAGTGATTATAACTGATAATTTGGAAAATCAGCAGTTATTAATTGATAGGGTGAATAGCATAGGTAAAAAATATGGCCTCAAAATCAACATTTTGAAAACGAAATATAAGGTCATTAGCAGAAACCCTTCAGAAAACCCGATAATATGCATAGGTGACAATCGTATAAATCGCGTGAAAACTTTTAAATACCTTGGCACCACAATCAATGACCAATCGGATCCACAACACGAGATAAAAACCCGAATACAAATGGCAAGACAAGCTTTTGTGAAATTCAGATCGTTCCTATGTAATCAACACCTAAACTTCGAAATACGCTACAGAATGGTCAAGTGCTAATATGGTCCATCTTGCTTTATGGCATGGAAACGTGGACTTTGAAAAAAACATCTATCAACAAACTTGAAGCATTTGAAATGTGGTCATTGAGAAGAATGATGCGCATACCTTGGGTGGATAGAGTTCGAAACGATGACGTCCTTAATAGAGCCGGCGTGAAAAGAGAACTTTTTGAATTAATTAAAAAACTCAAGATTGGTTACCTTGGGTACATATTGAGAGGAGCAAAATATGAAATACCACAGTTAATCCTACAAGGGAAGATCGAAGGTAGGAGAGGAGCCGGCCGCAAACAATTATCCTGGTTAAGGAATATTAAAGAATGGACAGAAATACACAATACAGGTGAGCTGTGTCACGCCGCCAAGAACAGAATTCTAGTAATGAGGTAGTCGCCTACGTACTTTGGTGTATGGCATGTTAAGAAGAAGAAGACCAGTCACATTACAGAAGAGCTAACACAGAAAAAGAACACCTAACAGAAGAAACGACATTAAGTAAAATGTATGAATTATATATTGAAGAAACAGACAATGATCCTGTTAAATTTTCGTATTACAAAAAATATTTTTAACACTATTTAATCTTTAAAGAAAAAAGTTGAAAAAAGATATGTGTAGTAGATGTGATTGTTTCGAATTAGAAGTTAAAAATTGGCAGATAACGAAAGATTAAGCAGGTTAAAGGAAGAAAAAAATGTGCACTTAGAAGAAGCTAAAAATGCACAATCTAGAAGAAAGCTAGAAATGAAGATGAGCAACTATAAACCAGAAGTGAAAACCTTTTGTTTTGATTTAGAAAAAACTCTTCTTCTTCCGAGAATTTCAAAAAATATCGTATATTATTAGCGTCAATTATATATTTACAACCTTGGAATCCGTAGCGGCAAAAGTAAAAAAGATCATTGATATGTTTGGTTAGAAGGTAAAGCTGATCTGGCCAAAACCGCAACATCAAAATAGTTTTTATTCTGAAAACGATTTTGGAAGCTTATCCTACCTACTTACCTTTTGGAAAGTCCTAACTTTGAAAAAATTACATTACGCTATCTCTTTCTTGGTCATAGCAATGATAGTGATTTTAGAGATATTGAAAATACACTAAAATTTCAACAATGTTTATATACCGTTGATGATTACCTAAACGTGATAAAGAAATCCCGTAAAAAGAACCCACTAGTAGTTCACAGAATGAAAAGAATTATTCGTTGGAACAAAGAAGTTGTAAACTATGATTGCAAACCGTAAATCAGACATAGAAAACAGTAAGGTTTAAAACAAGAGAAATTGAAATAAGAAAGGATAAACCACTGAGTATTTTTATGAAAACTGATTTTAATACTAGTGAAGTTGAAGTAGATCTTCACAAGAAACTTCAAAAAGGACGGCCCTTTGCAATGCAGTCCCTAAATAACCACTTGATTCCTGTTTGGCCCACAAGCCTCTGTTTCTACGCTTAACGACTTAGATCTTTAATGCACCAAATACGAAATGATGCAAAAACCTCTGTATCGCTCCCTTTTCAGTAACAATACAGTAGAAGATGACATTGACGGATTTGATGGAGACTTAGACTTTGATATACGAGATGGGTAATGTTTATTTAGTATTTTCATAATATTCAGAAAATTGTTTAGTATTTAAATGGGAATAAGCCACAATTAAAGGTTAAAGTACGTTTATTGACGTTTGAATTTCCACTTCGGAAATCGTTCTCAAAATACAAATATGAGAAAATTACAAAAATAGTTACAGCCCTTTGAAGTTACAAAATATAAATTAGTTTTTTTTGCATTATCTCCTAAACTACTTGACATTTTGTAGTAAAAATGGACACGCTACGTCTTGTTCTGAAAGCATTTTTCATAAAAAAGAAAGAGCAAAATCTAAGCGCACGGAA